GTCGGACAGTTCGTTTACGGCAGCTGTTGAAACCAGTTCACCTCAGTAGTGCGTTGCGAAAAAAACAATGGAAAAAAATATTGAACAAAGAGTTTGCATCAAATTTTGTTTTTCGAACGAAATTTCGTGTGCAGAATCGTTGCGAATGCTACAAAAGGCTTATGGGGAATCAGTTTTATCGAAAACTCAAGTTTATGAGTGGTACAAAGCCTTTCAGGACTGTCGTACGACCGTCGAAGACATGCCGCGTTCTGGACGACCTTCGACCTCTACCACCGACGAAAACATTGAAAAGGCAAAGGAAATCGTGTTCAAAAATCCTCATGTGAGTGTTAGAGAGATAGCACGAGAGCTAGGCATCGGTCGTGAGATGGCTCGTTTGATTTTGGTGGACAATTTGTGTATGCGACGTGTCAACGCCCGGCTTGTTCCGATTCACCTCAATTTGTTCAACATTATCAACGATTTTAAGGCCAAACATTCAATAAATACCATCGAACAGCCACCGTATTCACCTGATCTTGCACCGTGTGACTTTTTCCTGTTTCCCAACCTCAAATTACCACTCAGAGGAACGCGTTTTGAATCCATAGAAGACGTAAAACAGAATTCGCAGAGGGAACTCAAAGCCATACCGGAAAGCGCCTATAAAAAATGTTTTGATGATTGGAAGAAAACGTTGGCATTTGTGGTTATCGCTTCTAATGCGATGGGCATATTTTGATAGGAGATAAAATAAATATTGATGAAGATTAAGAATTTTGCGTTTTATTTAAAACGCAAAGGAAACTTTTCGGTCACAATGTAGATAGAGTTAAAGATATTGAAAAGAAAACAATGGAGTTACAGGGACTCTTTTACAAAAGTATCTATATAAAAATACTAAAATTTAAAAAGATACATATGGATACTATATTAAATTAAAATAAAATACTTAAAGTAAACTTTTTTAAATTAAAAAAAATATGTATTAGAGCTCTACAGTTTACACAGTGAAGTTACAATATTGCAATAAATATATAATATTGCAATTTATGTAATTTGTAAATATAAGTATAGCTGTAAGTATAGATTTTAATTTTTACCTATATATATATAGTTGTAGTAGTAGTAGTAGTAGTAGTAGTAGTAGTAGTAGTAGTAGTAGTAGTAGTAGTAGTAGTAGTATTCTCCTATATTATACCTATATAGGTTATATTTAAATTTACTTTTTCAATCATTTATAATACACAAAACATAAATATTATAAATATTTGTACTATAAATAAGTAAAACCTAACGAAATTGACATAAATAGTTTCTAATTTTTCCTTATATGATTATGTGTTTCGCCGTCAATCAGAGTCTATATATGTATATATACATATATATTTATAATTCATCCATTATCTTTCTTCTATAATTTATTGCTTCCATAATGACAAAACCATTAACAAAAACCATTTTTCTTTATTTAGTATAAAGATAATACACTGTTTTAAAATTAGTTTTTAAGAAGAAAGTGCCAAATCTATAGGCAATTTCGACACTTCAGCACTATTACTCCAACGAGAAATTCGGCATACTATAACTTGTATATAATATAGATATACAATATCTATGCTGAAGAATAGAAGCTACTAAGAAATTTATATACTTTGACGTCGTACACTAGTAGCTCCTCAAACTCATGGTTTAATATGATTCTTTGTGGAGTAACCAGTAACCAGTCGGAAATATAACTATAACTTTTAAATACATATATTTTTATGGACAAGTTGTAACTATTAAAAAGAAAAGGTAAAAAAACATGATTTTTGTAAACGTTTTGAATGAAGTGAAAGGCAATCTGTATCTATATACAGTATGTAGACACTTGTACATGACATTACAATAAAACATTGATTATTTCACTGAAATAAAAAAGTTCTTCATATTTCAATAATATTTGCGTAAATATTTTCTAAATATATTTTTGCATTTCTTTATGTCTCCAAAACTATAAATAAATGCTTTTCTTCTTTCATGAATTTTTATTATAATCTGAACTGCAATTATTTAAAAAAAAAACAATAATAAATCACACACATCATAACAAATGTAATAACAAAATTAATTCCGTCATTTATGGTGTTCAAATTGTCTTGTACGGTCTTTTATTTAATAAGAACGTATTTTTGAGTCGATTGACTCCATTGAGTCAATTTGCAAAATTTTGAGTTATAACATATCAATATTGGTTTTTTTGTAGTTATTAAAGTCTTGAGTGCTGAATCAGTGCTGAAATATACTCATTGCTGTCAGTTATTTTGCAAACAAACAAAACTACACTAAGATTAGGATTTACCGTTTTGTGATTTTGTACAGGGTTATTAGGAAAAGTGAATGAGAAGTAATTTTAGAATTTGTTTACATTATTTGTGTTTTTAGATGTAAAAATTTTATATGATCACCTATTATTTTAACAGATATGTGAACTTACACATACATATGCGTAATTATAAGTGAAATCATGTTTAAAACGCTTTGTTATTGTTAACAGTTTTTTAATTTAACAGTTTTTTATTTAATATTCAAATATGAAAGCATTCAATGTTTTAATATAAAACAATTTAAAATCTTTTAATAAAGTACTTACCTCTAAATATAATAATTAAATAATATTTTGTATTGTAAATAGTTTTGTATTATGTTTTACTTTTTAATTTTTTTAAAAATGTTTTTATTTTATTTCATGTCTAAATCGCAATTCATTTAATTTTTTAATTATTTATTATTATATTATACTTTTATATTAATCACTCAATATTTTTATAGTTTATTTATCAATTAAAAAATGTTCATTCACTTTTTTATATTCACACTTTTCTCTACCGTTACCATTTTGAACAGTTCACTAATTAATAAATGCACCGAAGAAACGTTGAGGAGAAGCTCATCATCTTCACTTGTTTACATCCAAGTTCCACTCAAATGTGCTTGTTATTATTATGATCATTGCTTTAGCATGAAAAAATTCTATTAAAATTTGACAGCTTTAATGATTACAACGAGTTGGTGAAGTTGTTTAATATAAAAAATTTGGTTGATTCTCAATAAGAGTCAAAATATGGAATATATTAAAAAATATTAAACAAATGTTTAATTTTGATTTTAACAAAAAGTAACCTATAACCGGGTATAAAATATATAAAAAACATTATTATTATTTTAAAATAAATATTATTATATTATTAATTAATTGTTATTTTGATCAATTTAAAATAAATTCTTGTACATTTTGTACTGAAGATTGTCTATAAAGTAGATCGAAATTAAAATATAATTAAAATATTTAACACAAATTAATAAATATAATTTTTTATTATAAAAATTTTATAATTTTAAGTGTTAGGTACTATCTAAGCCCGGTAATAATTACATTATATTATTATTATAAAATATACATTACACTAATATTATATTTTTTAGGTTAATGCTTCAACTTTTAAAATACAAAAACTTATAACGGAATGGAATTCAAATTTTTACTTTAAATTGCAATATTAAACGAAATTTACATAAAATTTCTTGGTTAAAAAATTAAACTGAAGTAAGTTTTCTTATAGTTGATTAGGGTAAAACATATTTATCAGTTTGCTTCTTCTTCTTTGTTACTGCATTTCGGTATGAACCTGGACCTTCTTCACGATCTGCCTTTATTTCGTACAGTCCGCTGATAGCAACCTCCAGTTTACGTCAATTAGAGTTCTTTCTATTCTCATGAACATTGTCTTCCCATCGCGTTGTCGGTTGATTTAGTGTCAATGACTTTTGTATTAAAGATACTTTTCGGATTATTTTCTAAACCAATTCTTACAACACGTTCATCATAAACACTATAAATCTTTTTACATCTCCATATCGCATTATTTCCTTCTCTCATCATTTTTAATAGTACTGTCAGTCTAATCTGAACTTTGAATCATAAACGCTATAAATCTTTTTACATCTCCATATCGCATTATTTCCTTCTCTCATCATTTTTAACAGTATTGTCAGTCTAATATGAACTTCGATCTCATTTCCAATATATACCATCTATACCGATCTAAATATACGTTCCCTCAATTTCTGATTTCTTATATTTTACATCTTCATATATATTCACGATTTATTTTAAAATTTTCAAATTAACGTTAACTTAGAAGTCATTAATTAGTTAAGAGAAACTTATAATTTTTAACAAAACAAATACTACATATAAAACTTTAACAGTTTTTAGATTGTCAAAAGTTAACTCAAAACAGATCCCTTTGTAACTCTTAAACCTGAACGAATGAAGTTGTTAGCTTAATTAACTTAATTATTTTAACAACTCTGTTTGTGAGTTTTTAAATATATTTGCATTTTCCAATAAAAACAGAAATGAAAGCTCGTTTTTATAATTATTGTTTTCAAAGAGAACAAAGGCGTTAGAAGTGTTTTAGTTTTTAGTTAAAAATAAAAAAGTTGCAGTACTCTTCAATTTACTTAGATTTCATGTTTGAAAAAGAAAAAACTTTTCTTTGAAATAAATCAGAAGCTCTTGGAAAAAAGAAGTGAGCTTAACAAAAACGAAATCCAAAAGTTTATGAGCTTTCTATGTAATTTATATTTCAGTGAGATGCAATATCCTTTTAAGTACACTTCATCGAAATGCATTGAATAAATTTTACATTTTATTGTAGTTTTTCGATAAAGATATTATATTTCTATTTCGATTTTCATTTGCTTACTTTCACGGGTGAATTTTAGTTTCTTAATTTTCTATTCAGCTTATTAGAGAAAAATTATATGCAAAAATTTTTTAAATCAAAAATAATCGAATGGAACGTAAATTATTAAAAATAATTTATACTATAACTCAATAACTAAATAAATTGAGTAGAAATAGAAATGAAAAAAAATAAATAAATATTTCAGAGAAGTAGTTCCCTGAGAGTGTGTAAGACAGCTTAACAGTAAGAATAAAACATCTGTTAAACTATATACACTCAACGGGATTGATTTGATTTATCTAAATGGGTTTTAACGACGAATATGGTATACTGACTTTTCCAACAAAGATTGACGGTAGTCGCAGATTTTCCTTTAAATTAAATCTTAACATCCTGGTTTTACCACCGAACTATTGCAATGTTTTCAAAGCAGAAATAATGGCGTTTAGTACAGTTGTCCTTTTAGACAACCAACCTGCTATTAAATCTCTGGTAAACGCTAGAACTACATCCTCAATAACTCGAGAATGCATGACTCTTTGCAATCTTACCAAACTAGCCATCTCGGGCAACTGCAACAAAGATAAGTTTGTTTTTTTACGGTCCTTCTGGTCTGCGTATAAACAGCGCTAACCTGTGGTATTCCAAGTGGCCAATAATTCAGCTCAATTGGGCTTTGGTGCACAAGGCCGTTACATCAACTTCACCTAATCTTATACCATGTTCCTGGCAAGGAATTTTAGTTTCATCGATTCCGTTTCGGTAATTTCGATGACAAAGATACACTACGCACTGGAAGGCATATTGTTGAACAAGATTGGACAAAACACCGTTTAAAACTTAAGCCATTTAAATAAAGTTGAATACAAAAAAATACTCGATGTATGGGACCTCATGGACAGAATTCTCATCTGTGATGAGTTGCTGAATCGCAACAAAATCGACACATTTCTGAAACGATTGGTGACAGTTGATGAAAAATGGTGACTGATAACCTACAATAACGTTAAGCGAAAACGATCATGGTCGAAACGCGGTGAGCTGGTTGAAACGGTGGCGCAGCCGTGATTGACAGCCAGAAAGGTTTTGCTGTATGTTTAGTGGGATTGGCACTGAATCATCTACTATGAGCTGCTCCCGCACAACAAAACTCAACTCGGAATTGTACTGTCAACATTTGGAGCTTGGTCCGTCTAATGAAAGCTTTGGGCAATAGGATAGGAGAGGAATTGTATTTTATCAGGACAGCGCCAGGCTACACAAATCGATGACTCGCCCAAAGCTCCGAGAGCTTGGTTGCGAAGTTCTTATGTATCCATTTTATAGTCCCGACCTGGCACCAAGTGATTACCATACATTTCTGTCCATGGCGAACGGTTTTTCTTGTGAAAAATTTGGTTCTGAAAATCGACCATCTCAATTTTTTGCCAATAGGGACGCGGACTTTTATGGAAGGGACATAATGAAATTGCCTTGAAAATTATCGAACAAAACGACGCATATTTAAAGCGTATCTAAAGCGCATCATTTTAATTATGATAAATAAGCCTTCAATTTCATGCAAAAATAATGGATATTCATGATCTACTCAATTAAGGCTAATAACCTGTGTAGTCGAAGTAACTTTATTTTTTTTTTTGCACTTTCAGAACACAATTCGTTCGTTCTCTCCAGGTATTTAGTCTAGGTAAAATATGAAAAAATTACACATTACATATTTTGAAAGCGTAAAAAAAATAATTTTTGATAAAATTATATACATTTGAAATTAGTCTTCAAATAGAGTGAAATAACAAATAAAATCCTATAAAATTGAAGAAAACATTGATGAGGCATATTTTCATTAACATTTTTTATATTTATTGTACTCCAACTTCCTTTAGTAGTAATCATTTGTATAATATATTATAGACAATGAATATTTTATTAAAAACTATTTTCGTATTTTAAAGCATGTAGTCACAGTAATTTTTAAAAATAATTATAGTAAAACATTGTTTATAAATTACATATATAACGAAGTTGTAATTGTTATATTATAAAACTAAAGAACTAATACAAATTTTATTCATTATTTTAAATCACATATGAAATGAAATTGAATTATAATTTTAATAAAATACACTTTCTTCTAGTTTTTACGCACCCTTTTAGTTTTCACATAAGATAGCAAAAATAATATTAACTGAAAGGACTTAAATTATATATATAAAATATATTTTGAGCATAATTAAATCAAAGTAATTAATAAAGCGTAAATCATAAGGTTATATTTACAATTTTTAATATTTATTTATTTAAAAGTATTTATGTTTTTAATTAAAGAATTGTATTGTGTTCTCCCTAAATTTGAAAAAGCCATTTATTCAAGACATTAATTAAATTCACATATTTGTACAAAAATATATAACTACAAATTTACAAATTTTTCATTATACATTCAATTTGAAAGTTCCAAAGAAAAAAACGAAGATAATTCATTAAAAAATACTGTAGCCTCACATCATGCGCCATTAATTTATAAAGCTAATGCTATTAACTGTTAATAACGCCTTATTTACATTTATTTATTCAGAAATTAAATGCTTTAAATTATTAATAATTAAATTAATAAATTAAAGTACAAAGTATTTTAAGTGATTTATAACCAAATTGAATGATTTGTTTTGCTCAATCAACATTTCTAGCATTTTTTACTGTTTTGACTTTTAATCACAGGTACGAATTACTACTTTTTTTTCTGAGGAATCGACTGTTAATCCATATATTACACCAATTTATCTTTTTGATTTACTTTGGGCGAAGGAGTTGGTGGCGGTATAGAAGTAGCTATTTTGGGAGCTATATCTTCTTGACGCTTCTGAACTTTATCTGTCTGTTTTTCATCTATAATTTTTGTCTAAAAACATAGCTTGTAGATTTATATATAAAATTAAAAAATATATATTTGTACCTTTTTTTGATCAACTAAATTCAAGTCAGTAGCTTTATCTTCAAGAAGTTTGGCAGCATCTCTAACTTCATCAGAAATCACTTCCTTCACATTTTCAATTTCCTGATTAAAACCATCCAGCTCCTGATTTGATTCTTCTATTTTTTTCGCATCTTTCATACTTTTAGCTATAGCTTTTTCGATCTTATCTTCTGCCTCAATTATTTGTTCCTTTTCTAGTACTGTAAGCAGTTCTTCAATTTGCTTCTCATTTAGATTTACATCATCGCGGCCAATTGCTTCTACAACCTATTGCAGAATGAAATTATAAATAAATTAATTAATTATGTATTTCGAAGTGCTACTCAGAGTAACTTACATTTAAAACTTCATCAATATTAATAACACCATCTTTGTCGGTATCAAGTTTGCTTAAAACGTTTTCAATTTTTTGCAAACGTGACTCGTCGGAAGTCTGCTTCAACTAAAAATAAAAATTTCGTTATTACGTACCATATATTATATTTTATATATTAAAATAGATTAAGTTCATACCTTTTTCACAGTGCCTACTAGCTCATCAATACGTATAATTTCTTCTGCCCTTTTATCCTTTTCCAACTGCATCGAAGTTTCAGCTGCTTTCTTTTCTAAGTCGGCAAGCACCTTATCGAGACCTTCAATCATTGTGTTAACCTTTTTATACAGTAGTTTTGCTGCTCTGCTTTCCTTTATAGGCTCTTTTACAGTAGTACGTATTTCGTGTAGTTCCTCCACGTCTTCCTTATAGTCCTCCATTTCTTCTTTAAGATCTTTGATTTTTTCTTTCTCAACCTGCATAGATTTAGTCTGTGACAATGTCTCTAAAGCATCAGACAGCAGTTTAACATCTTTAGAAGTAATAACCTCTGCCTCTACTGGCTGACTTTCTGCAAACATTTCTTTCGCTTTAATTGATTCTGGTTTTATATTATCTATTTGAGCCATAGCCATTGAAATGTCTTCAGCTTCCATGACTGTTGCTTTATCAAGTAACAGTTCAGCTTCTTTTTTGGCCTTTTGTTCTTCTCGTTCTTCTTCACGTTCCTCTTGAATTTTTCGCTCTTCTTCCTTAATGATTTCGATTTTGGTCTTATTATCAATTTTACCCTCAAGTTCTCCAATTGCTGCCCTGGCTTGAGCAGCTGCTGATTCCGGTAGCACACGTATTGTCTCTTTCAGTTTGTCGGTTGTTGTTGTCTCATCATCATAAATAGGTAGCGCTCTAGATAAAAGTAAGAGTGTTGGTGGTACTTTCGAATTAAGTGACAAATCGATCCACTCTTGTAATTGAGCTCTTAATTTCTCAGCTGTAAGTCCGTAAGCACGCATGCCTCTAGATTTACAGGCCTGCTGTAATTCAAAAAGATCTAATGAGTCGACACCTTCACGTGCAATTACTCGATCATCCGCAACAAGGGCACGCAACTTCAATCGCAGATTAAATAATAAAATATTGGATGTACCCATTGTGTTTACTTCAAGTAACCGACATAACGCTGATAATTGCGCACGAGATAAAGAATCAAGTGTTATTTCGTCATTAAAACGCTTCGCAAACTTGATTATGTCTGTATTAGTAACATGTACACTAGGATTTTTAACTTTTTCAAAAAACTCAGCAAATTCCTTAGCATCTTCACTCTTATGCTCTCTATGCTGCACAGCCATTTCATCGAGTGTGGTTTGTAAAAATTTCGCCATTTCTAATTTAACTTGTAACTGCTGTTTTAATTTGTCCTCACGATCCTTGGCAGTTTGAAACGTAGATGGCAACATGCCTGGGAATAATTTAATGAAAACTGGTAATAACAATTCCATAAAGGGCACAATAATAAATACCGAAAATGGTATAAGTCTAAAGAGATCTGAAGTTGTACGTACTAATAATTTATTTTCACGACGCGTAAGAGTTTTACCATTAAGTACACGCCATAATAATTTACGAGATACATTAATATCAATAAAAAGTAAACGAAATCCATGATAATAATGCACTAATTCTTCCCAAATACGTGTTTTAAGTGGTTTCTTGACGGGAACCGGTTTGCTTCCTTCCCCTTTCTTGTTTGGGTCACTTATAGCTTTTCCTTCCTTGTCTAGCAAAGTTCCTTCCTTTGATGCTTCAGATATCATTTTCTGTTTTTCCTTCATACTGTTGACTGCGGCTTCTACTTTAGAGGACTGATTTTCTCGTAAAAATGGTACAATACGAAATTGTCTCGCCGAGTTATAGCAATATAAAGGCGACGTAAGAAAATCATCTCTTGATAGTATTGCATTTGATGGTAATAAAAAACTGTAAGGTAATATACATTCATTTTTTATTGAACAATAATGGGAGGCAAATTTAGTTGGGGGAAATAGTGATGATGTGTGGATATTTTTGATCAATCCATATTTTAAAATGTTCGAACCAGTGTCCTGATGAAAAGTGATCGTTTTTACTTTTGAGTTCGACTTCTTTAAATCTAAAAAAAAAAAGTTTATTATAATTTTGTTACAGTAATATAAAGCAAACATGTTTATAAAATATTAACTAAATAAGCTATAATATCGCAAATTATTTTTTAAGTATAAACCTTACAAAGAATATTGAAGTACGCTCCTTTCAAATATTTTAAGGAAAATAGTTTTTTTTTGGACATTCTATTTATTCATATAATGTTCATTTTCTGAATTCTGTATTTAATTTACCTAAGCACAAATCTGTACGATTGCAATATAAATACGTAACCTGATATACCTATGTGCACTTCTTACCATTCTCTTCAGAGTATTATCGTTCGACAGATAGTCAAAAAAGCAGAAATGCCAAGGGTTGGTAAAACTTTGACCTAAGTTACATTACAATTACAACTTAGGTTGCACTATATAAAATCAAATATAATAATAAAACAATGATCTTTCTTTATTAATTAATACATATTATTTAAAAGGAACATTAGGAATCGAATTACAAACAAATGTGTATATTAACAAATAAATATATCAATCATTGCCGTGAGTTTTTGTAAAAATAAATAGAATAACTACTGGTAAAACTATGACTTCTACGACTACTATAATTTCTACTACAACTAAGACTACGACTACTACGATTTTTACTACAGCTACGACTACGACTACGCCTGCTACTACGACAAATATGACTACCATAACTACTACGACTACGACCGTATATATACCATAGACCGTATATGACAAACCATGTTATAGAATTAACCAATATTGTTTATTTTTTGTGTACTCAACCGATGGCGTTAGCTATATTTTTACTTAATCACTTTTCAATAGGTATAGATATTATTTTTAACAAACTACTGGTTGGAATTAACTAGATACATAGTTAAATGTTTTATTTTCGTTTTCACTAAACTCCATCTAAAAGAGCAAGTATTAAGTTATTCATAGTACTCTTGATTAATATTATATTCATATTTTTTATATATGTAAATTTTTGCTGTATATATATATATCTATATCTTTTTTCTATTAAAAGTTGGTAAACTGTTTTTATTGAATATTTTTTTATAATAAATAAAAGTTCCTCATACCATAGTTCACCTTTTAAACCTTACTTTATACTAAAACTTTATTGTTCACTAAAAGTTTACAGTTTACTAAAAGTTTGCAGTTCACTAAAAGTTTACACTTCACTAAAAGACCTACAATCAGTTATATTTATTAAGAATTTGAGTGATAGTTCTTTTTACCAAACTATAAGAATATCGAATTGCTGAACCATCTAATTTAGATGTGATAAATATCGCTGAGTGTCTTTGGATTTGAAGTCATGGAGTCAAACTAAATGCAATGTAAGCACATTCTTTTGTAAAAAATCGAATCCTTCCTGAATAGCAAGAACTTCTGCTTGAAAGAGATTAAAGAACTTTGTTTATTTTTATTTTTAATTCATATGAAAAAATTCCGCAACGTAATGGTTTATTAAAATTCAATTCCCTTCTATAGAAAATAATTGCATCAACACATGTTAGAATGCTATTAAAATTGCTTCATTCTGTTAATTCCCACATGAATACAAAATTTTCGACCTCAGTATGTGTTTGATCTGTTATACTTCACCAAATTGCAATTCACACTCAGATGTAAAATGTATCTCGCAGGTGTAGGGGAGAATGGTTATCTCATTAGTGAATACATGATTACAAACGATTTCATTTTCATTTAAATTTCAATTTTAAACAAAATACACATTATTTTTCAATTTATAATTAAGCGAACCCCGGCAACTAGACAAGTATTATAATTCTGCTTCATTGTTAGAATAAAATTAGACAAGATACCTATATTGTAATATATATACTCAGTGTGCATATATAAAATATTTAACATAAGTAAACAGCACATCTGTATGCTTACGTTTATAAAGTATTAATTAGTCAATTAATGTAATTATAATATATTTCATAAAATTAACGAGACGGAACTGCTTTGTTAATTAGTGTCAAAATCAGAGTTTGAAAATATACAGAAAAAAATTAACAAAAATATTTTGGAATTTAAAATTAATTAATATATATATTTATAATTAATTGTATTAATAATATACCTTATTTATTTATTAATATTCTTAAGCTCTAGCAAATTTTGTAGAACTTGTTTTGTGAAAAAATTAATTAAGAATTAAGAATTTATTTTAAAAAAATTTATTATTATGTTGAGGCTAGTTGAATCAGTTCACTTGAACACTTTTACTTTTTGTTAATTGCGAAGTCTCTTCATAAACCCTCTCTACGCCTTGACTGGATTATTGTTTATCACTTCATCAGACTAAACAATAATTGATCTCAGATCTTCAGACCTCTCCGAGGAAGTAACCATTATACATTACTCTTACGATAAAGATAAAAAAAAAATACAAACTAACATTATTAAACAATTTATATATAGGTAAAAAGAAGCATACTTTGTTAAAACTTATGACAGTGCTGACAATCTATTGCACAATAGAAACCCGTGCCGAAAAATTAAATAGAAAACCAGTAATTACAGCAAAAATATGAAAAAAATATCTTAGCTTAGCAAGTCTAATACATTTCACTAAACAAACCTACAAACTAATGAGATTGGCGGACATTACAAATATAAATATTTCAAACATAGCCCAATTTTTCATTTAAAGTTTAGTATCCCCTGTCCGAATGTATGGCAACAGATCGGTGTCTAAGAACAGAAAAGGAATCTTTATCGCCACAAAGTCAAACCAACCAACCATCCTACGATTCGAATCTATTTTATTACAAAAAAACATAATATGCGTCATATTTTAATGATTTTTGTTTGACAACCTTTCAAATTTCAATTTCTTTTATTTGTTAAAAACCATGAAATCATCTCCCCATATATATTATATTATAAGGAAACACCCTATATATAAACAAAACATTTATTTACAGAAATTAAATAATTTCAATATAGCGAAGACAATGAACTGTCATCTATATGCATTATTTAAAATTGGCAAGAGTACAAAAAATAATATATATTATATGTATATATACATATGTATACATATATTATGTATATAATTTTACGATTACAAATGAAGGTAAAAGCGAAAAAATATATAAAAACTATGTATTGTTTACGTAAGCAGTACTGTATTGGAAATGAAATTACAAAGATTATTGACCTTTTATAAATACATATACAAATGCGTAAAACATATATATAATCTTAATATATAAATATTTTTAAATATATAAAAATATATAAAATTATATAAAAATATAGGAAAAAAATATTAATTAAGAAATTACATAGTATTGTTTTGTTTATTAATTTCGCACGGAAATCACGTGAGAAGAACATGTGTTTGAAAATAATAATAATAATTTATGAGCTGGTTTTTCAACGACTCTAGATATTAAATATATTTAGATATATATATATATTGTAATCACAACCGGTTAGAAACAATAAGAAATATTATTGTATTAAATTGTTGGATGTTATTATAGCCATTGAAGTGGAAAACTTTTTCCTATAATAATTAGAACAGGTATTAAAAATTTATTGAAATAAATAAGTTAAAAAATATTTGACATCAATATCAATTTTCATTGCCATAATATTTTATTAATTTAATTTAATTGCAATTTTTCAAATTTTTAAAAATGTAGTTTATTAAGACGAGCAAAGTTCTTAGTAGTAATTTTTAAACTTTTTACTGTGTGGATATGTATTAAGTATTATCTCAATTTTTTTTCTAGATGTTTAATTTTTTTATAACTAAGATTTATCAAATATATAGAAATATATATATGTGTTAATGGAAAAAGAAATTTTTTACATACACATATATGTATATTACTCATTTATTCCGGACTAGCCGAAAACCATTAAATTTGCTTATCAGATAATAAAAATATAGATTATTTTTTCCCATTAGAAAAAAAAATTAAAATAATCGACTAATTTAAGATTTTGGAAGCTCAACAATCTTAAAAACTACAAAATAATAAGTCTTATCACAAATATTAGACTAAAGTAATACCTTTTAATATATGTACAAATATTATACAAAATTTATAGCACAAAAGTATATTATTTTAGTGATAAATTGAAAATAAAGAGTAAATGTATAGTAAATGCATATTGTGCTGAACCTGAAGCGTTGCCAAAATTAACTAAACAAAGCACTTTTTCGGTTTATTTATTTATTATTGAAGGTTTTCGTTACACTAAAATCTTGCCAAATATAGTTCTATGACATCATATAAGCAGATGATCATTAACAGCAAATTAACTTATATAGAAACATAATATATGACGAAACTAACAAGTGAATATATTTTTTATTTGTTTAGTTAACAAAAAAAAATTAGTTACGTTTGTCCGCAATCTTTAATAGTTGATGTTACGTTTCCACAGATGCTAATTATTTTACAAATAATATATAAAAACCCAAATAATTAAAAAGTCTTAACATCGTCGTAGATTTTTGACATCATATTGAAATTGTCGTACTAAATTTCATTCATATCAATTACAACGTAAATACTAGCAGCTTGTGCTAATATTTTAATATTTAATTTAATATTTTTTACTTAACTGAACAAATGTCACAGTGCTAGGCAACAGCACCAAGGCCATGTTATGACGAATAGCCGTCCCAAGAGCGGACGGGTGTAGGTGTACATCATAAAACTACCGATCTTCTAGACGACCAAGTAACTTTCACCTCCCAAATAAAGTTTTCTGACCTTATTAAGTCGGCATTTAGTTACAACAATAACAAAACATAATCATAAAGCTTGTCTTGAAGAAAGTCCAAATAAATTTTTCAATTTCATACTAAAACAATTAATTTTAAAATTTTTAATTGTGCCTTAATGTTAAAGATAATAAGGGTATTCACTATCATGAATACCGCGTTCGGTAATCGAGTAATAATCTAGCATTACAAAGTGCGATCAACAAAATACATATATACCAAATGGATATATAATAATATAATTAGTATAGTAGTTAATATAATATAGTAGTACGATCACGAGTATGTGGTCATATGAAAATACATTCCATTTCATGGTTGCCGCTTAGCACTGTTACTATGCTACGCGGCTACCACGAAATCGTGAAGACCTCTAATATTTTTTATGTGAATATGTGAGCAAAAAAATATTGTATATTTGTTCCTAAAAGACACAAAATATGATATCAATACTGTTTCGATTTACATGATGAGGTACAAAAAGCATCATCATCATGACCAAAAGTTATTTGAATTTTCTAGCTCCTTATATCAATTTTTTAGTATACATTGAAAACAGTAACAATTGCACATTCGACGTAACCATGACTATCTATATATAGTATAGCCCTTAAAAACATTTTACTCGAAAAATTTTTTGTTATCATGCACCGTTTTCCCAAAATCGGCCTGTAGAATGAGTTAGCTACTGCTTTATGCAATAGCAGTAGGTAACTTAGATGCTTTTTTTTTATACATATATACGGTAAAAATAACTCTAATAGTAATTTATGCATATTATTTAATAATGAAATTTTTAATAATAAAAATTAAAATAAAAATTTTAATCTATGGTTATATTAAGTGAATATTGATACCTATACAAATTTTTTATTTTTATTGTATTTGCTTTGACTTTACGTTTCTTAGGTTTGTAACTGCATTCGTAACACAATCAGCTGTTAGCCGATAATGGCAATGACGTTGTAATTGTAAAACAGAAAAATGATGTTAAAAGAAATTTAGAGAATGGAAAATTTTACCAAAGCAATATTAAAAACATATAGCAGACAGATTGTCTTCATGAAGAGAAATTCATGATAACTTATAGGAATCAGAATTAATATTTATGTAAATATACTTACATCTCCCACTCTCCGCCAATGTACGACCGTACAATTTTTGGTACCTCAAAAGCGCATTCATAGTATACGGTGTTTCTTCACGTTATTGGTAAAAATTTAAATTTAGTAAATTTAACACGAAGTTCCACGATAATTTTTGACTATTAAAAGAATTTAATTAAAATTTTATTTATACATCTTTTCAAGAAGTTCAAAGTTTTGCTAAAGTTTATGTAAATTTAAAAGAAAGAAAAATAAATTGATTTTTCATTTTTGAATTTCGAATCAATTTCATTTATTTTTTTCCTTTTGTATAAAAATCGTAGCAAAATTAGATTAATTTTAAATACAAATTACACAACTATAGCAACAACTTTCATAACAATAAATTGGTAATATTTACAGATTTATTCATATAACCGCAAAAGCACACGACACAATTTTTTGATATAAGATTTGTACCAAAAGAAATAAATTATCAAGTGCACATAAAATAAAGAACGTTTGTTACGAATTTAATTTAGAAAAATGGCCGATTATTTTATGTTAATTTTAATTGCCACATACAGGTACACACTAATTCTTAGTAAATTTTAACGACATGATTTACAATAAGACTTTCATCATCATTCGTTTCGTTTTAACTTTAGAACGATTTCTCATCATTAGAAATTTGACACATGACATTTCTTGTTCTTCAACGTGCAGCTTAGAGTTGCCATATACCAATATCGTAAAAACAATACGATATTAAAACATTTACTGTGTTGCAAAGAAAGATAACCCTAATCTACATTTCAAACAAGTGTTTTTATTTATCTTGACTTGAACGAAGTTTTCTTTATATGGTAGATCTACAATTTGAATTAGAGCAATCATGATTTATGCGACATACTGTTATATTACGTTTATACTTATACTGTGTTTACATTATGAGATTAAAAGTAAAGTAAAGCAATCTTAGTTATTTAATCACAGATTTTCGATATAAAATTAATCACATTTTGGTCCAGATTAATTTTTAATCTCCTTAAAAATGGTGATTATTTTAATGTGCAACTCAGCAAATGTCTTAATATCATAGATTTTTTTACGATCTTAGAATAATTGGAAAAGATATGTCAAAATCTATTCAAAAAAAATATTGAAAATTTGAAAACGCCGAAGTGAAATTTTTATTAATTTATTTCATAATAGTTTTATACATAATTATAACTTAAATTTGTTAAATTTATGTTATAAAACTATTTATTATTTATTTTTGTTTTAATTTTTGAGTCGTTACTTCGAAATTGTTTAAATGCGGTTATTTTTGTTTTTTAAAATATACTAACTAACTAAAATATACTATACTAATTTATTATGTTTATATTATAATTACTTTTGTATAAAGTTGTTATTAAATACTTTATTTACAGAAATTTATCAAACACACAAAACAAAACATGAGATAAACGCCAAAGCTAATTTCCAATGTGAAATGTAACCGGTTCTCTTAATCTAACAATATAAACGTAGTATTAGACTTATCGAACCTCTTTAACGTATTTTAATGTAGATTTGTCGAGTTAAGTACAACACAAGTATATCACTTATTTCCTAAAAAATGAGCCACTGCTGTTTACTGCCTAATTCATATGACAGGAGATCAGTATTTAAATATTATTGCCAATTTTCCATAAGCAGTTTTCAATAATCCTTATATTAATACGATTTCAAATTGCCACGATCGAATTTACAGTACGGTATCATGCCTAAATGTCCAACTTAAAATCCCGATATCTTATAAATTATTATTGATATATATGAATATCGTAGCGTAGTGGAAACAGTTGTGTCTTCGGGACATCTGATTTACGCCTTATTATAATATTGTATTGCATGATCAAAATTTTAGGAAACACGATTTGGTCAATTTTACTATTTTAAATATCTTTTTTTTTTGCTATGCTGGTGTCTTTATTATATATTTTATATGAAACACATTTCATTTTTTTATGATTTATGCGACTTTAATATAAAATACAAAGAAAGCATATGGAATTGTAATCGTTTATGGATATAACAACTGTAAAAACAACATATCTATCGAAGAGGAGGTTAAAGTTATTTGTATATGCAATTATAATTCAATTTAAATTGCATCTTATTACCAATTAATTAATAACAACGTATTAATAATATGCAGTAATCATTTGAAAAGTTAAATATTTTATATTCCGGGTAGAATTAAATGTAAGACGATATATACGAATTTCTTATAGTGATTTCTTTATATATTTTTTTCGTGGTATAATAAAGTGCAATAACATTAACGGTATTGTGCCAAGAAGACAAATATACTAAACAAAACTTTTTCTTGCAAATAATTTATTATGTTAATAGCATTAGTTCTATTATTATTTTAATATAAGGGAGCCCTTGTATCCCCTTCATCTCTCTCCCTGAATAGACCAATGATTTAGTACTATTTAAGTACTCACGATTATTTACACTTGATCATGATCATTTTCTAAGCTTTACTAAATATTCGATAATTGCAAATTTTTTACTGTGTACAAAACCGGCTTAAAAAGTACAAACATTATTATATGAACGAAATAAGTTCTACCATTGAGTAAGAATATTTTTACTCAATGGTTCTACGGTCTTGTAGCAAACTGTCAAAATTTTCGCTTTATTCTTTGTTCTTACTTTCGTAAAAATATTCGAAATTGCTCAACTTTTGTTTAATAAGTTAATTATAATAAAGTTATTCAATGAATATTATGGACGATTTAAATCCTTTAGCTGGCACAGCACATTTACTAGAAGAAGTTGACAGTAACATATATAAATAAAAAATCATTTATCCTTGTCTTATAAAATAATATGCTTAATAGAAAAATTAATGGTGTTACTGCGAGATGGAAGAACATTAATTGGCTATCTGCGCTCCGTGGATCAATTTGCTAATTTGGTTTTACATCGTACAATAGAACGAATTCACGTTGGAAATGAATATGGAGACATTCCTCGGGGTGTATTTATAATACGCGGTGAAAACGTTGTACTGCTTGGTGAAATAGTAAGTGTAGACCTTACGAAATTTATTTCCATTAATTTAATTTAAAAATTAATTCTAGGATCGTGAAAAAGAAACTAAGCTTCCGTTGAAGGAAATATCAGTAGATGAAATTTTAGATGCTCAGCGACGCGAGCAAGAGCAACGTCAAGAAAAACATAGATTAATATCAAAGGCATTGAAGGAGCGTGGTTTAGCTGTTAATACCGATATTATTAATGAGGATTTTTGTTGAACTTTAAACATTCTAAAATATTTTAATTATTTGTAATAAATAAAATTATTCATATTTATTTTGTAATTATAAAATTCATAAAAACACATTTGTTTTATAAATGAATATCAAGGAATTATGTATAATGGATACCTCTTTCTTGCTTATATCTATTTATTGAAATTACTTCTAACAATCTTGTTGTGACATAAATAATTTTTCTAATGTATTTGAAGCGTTATTGTTGCTTTGTTGTTAGCTTTCGTTCGAGCGTAGCTGGACCATAATTTTAAAAATGTAATAATTTCAAATTACCATTTTTATTTAGTGGATATCTTGCAGGGCAGGGAGGCATGATCTACTAAATGAATTCATTAGAAATCCTACACACTAACCTGAGTATTTCAAACGCTATAGATGGACATGTTAATATTAGATGCTTCTTAGTTATTTGAAGCATTCGTATTAATTCTGATCTTACCTTTTTTAGTGAATTTATTTAGTTATTTCAAGCTAGTTTGTTTATGTTTTTAATAGCCAATTGCGTAATAATTTCTCTTGAAATTCGAAGTATTGGTTATAAACATTCTAGTATTTTTAAAATATGAAAGTATAATTCATTATGTTAATTTCAATTTAAATGTACGGATATTATATTATGATTATTTAAACACATAGTTTACAAACTTTCGTGTTTTCAGGACTAACCGGGTTATGTCCTGAGGCCACTCATTAATTGCGACGATCAAGCACTATCCAGCACTCCCAGCAGTAAGTTTACCAGCACATCTTCTCGGGCTTCAACAAACTTTCATATATATATATATAATGTTGTAGTAACTCGCTGGGACCTGCTTGTGAAGTCCCTATGGGGTGTGTTGAATGGCACTTGATTGTCACCGGGGACGAGTGGCTCCGGGACTTAGACCCGGCAGTTATTAGAACCTATATGTGTATAATCAAAGGTTTTTGCAGTAAATGGATTAAATATGCTCTTACCCTCTCTTTTTCGTGCTAATACAGGTGCGACTTCAAATTACAAATCAATAGTCTACTGATTTCTTAGAACTTTTGATTTATTAATACATATATATACGGTTACATGCAGGGAGGCCAAAATCCAACTAGGATCGTTGCGCCATTAATTATGACGCTACTAATTATTAATGTATGATTTAAAATATAATTTAATAAGCATTGCCGTTATCGATCTAAGAGAAAGTGAAATTTACATTCCAAATATATTTATTCTATTTCTTAATATATAGCATATAGGCAGATAATGTTATTTGCTGCTGAACAATCGGAATAGACACAGCCTCAAAACGTTCTACATTAAAAAATAAAATAAAAACTAAAGGCTACTGTATTTAATTGAGTTAATTGGTCAATATTTTTAATTCTCAAAATTAACTGAGAGAATATTTGAGAGATAATTTTCAATTAAATGTCTTCGTATATAACAAAAATAAATTGAAAATAAGTAAGTATTATAAACGATAAAATATTTTATTATAAAATGGAAAATAACAGACTATTGCTAGCATAAGGAATCTGTTCGCATTATTGTAGAATAAAAATTTCACTTTTACAGTTTTCTTCTTTTTAAGTAGAACATATTAATCTTAATCTTTATAAATCAAAAGAAAAGCTTTTATTCTGCAATAAAAATAATAGTTAGCAATAAAAATATATAGGTTAGGAATATAAAAAAAAATTTAGAATATTACTCTTATTCTAATATAACTCTTAATTTAAAGTAAAATTAACTAAATAAATGAACTACGAGAGCAAGTACATATAAATTTAAAAAAATCAGAATAATACATACAAAAATCAACATTTTAAGATAAATATATTTTATATCAAACTTTAGTAATATCATTTTTAATATTTTATACTTTCCTACTCAAAATAAACGCTTGAATAAAATTAACACTTAATCTAATAATAGCTTTTATTCATATCAATTTGCTTACTTTACATGAGTAATAAAATTAAATTTAAAAATTTAATCATTTAAATTGGCTTAATTATTAATTATATATAATATGGTTTACTATGACATCGCAAATATTTATATCATTTATAAATATTTACCTACTAAAAAATAATTTATATCAATTTTTATATAATATATATAATTTTTACAGATTATGTATTTATATATACTAATATATAATTACAAACTATTTAAATAAAAATATTTAATGATTACTTTCTTAGATAGTAATTGTTTATTGCAAAAATGAATTAATTTTATTTAACATAATCCTAATAGAACAGTTGATTTCATAATATATATATATATAGTTATTTTATTTTTATAATTTGATCATTTGCTACGTGCAGTATTAATAATTCTTAGCATCTAATTGTTTAATTAAAATTTCCATTATTATTTTTCTAAAAATGTTAAAACATAAAGGGACAAATCGATAGCAAATTATTTTTTTTATTATTTAGTTTTGGTGATACTTTGCGATCTTGCCAATATAATTTCTTGTGACATTTAAAATGTACTTTGACATATAATGTCTATCTGTATGGTAATAGATTATTTTTAAAATCAATTGTAGTTAATGATTATACATACAGAAAAAGTTCTGCTTTATTTGTTAATATATTTATTCTTCCACAGGCAATTCCTCATTGGTAGTAGGAGTAGGTTCTGGATTTGTTACATTATTTTCGTGATCAATAACTGGTTCTGCCGTCGGGGTCGTGTCAAATTTCAATGATGACATGTTCTCCTTCTGGACAGCAACCGGTGCTGGCAACTCATCGTATAGTGGAGTACTATTTAGAGGTAATGTATCCTTTTTCTTATCATCAGATTCATCTGGTTTCACAAAGAAATCAGTAGTTAATATCTCATTGCTTATGATTTGCACGTTGTCATTCCGATTAGCGATATTGGCAGTAGTTTCATTTGTATTTTCAGTTGGCGTAGGCATATTTTGAGGTTCAACAGCTGGTTCTGATTCTGATGCGTCATATTCTTTTAGTTCAAGATCCCAATCGTCTTCTGTATCAACAATGGGATTATTTTCTACAGCAGATGAGACTTTATCTTCCGAATAAGAATTGTCACGTGAAAATCGTCGATGAGGTGCACCTTGGCGGTTGCCACGATTGCGATCGCGATCCATATCACGATAATCTCTATCATGCCAATCTCGATGACCACCACGGTCACCAAAACCTCGCCTGTTGCCACGATCACGATTGTGACGATCGTCAGGGCCATCACGAAAGCGGTTATTGACTTGATTGCGTCGTTTAAAAGCATTACTGTCGTCAATTTCTTCATCGCTCCAATTTTGCATTCCTAGACCATTACCACGTCCACCACGAGAGCTGCCACCACCTCCACGACCCCCTCTATGTGGACCTCGATTATTGTCACGATCAAATGGATTGCGTGGATTAAAGAAACCTTCGCAAATAAGAATATTTATATTTAGTACATTAGAATAAATGTAATTTTCAATGGCAATTTACCAGGTCCTTGTTGTCGACCACCTGGACCGCCACCTTGACCACGCATAAATATTGGCGGACCGCCGGGACCTCCGATACGCGGATTAAAAGCGTTTGGAGGAGGTATACGCATTTGCATTAAACTTGTTGGTTGGTTAAACCGATTTTGCATATTAGGATAAAAATCACCACCGTGACTATTACCACGAGGACCACCACCGCGTGGACCTCCATTCCGATTATCAAATTCTAATTGTAATAAAAAAATAAGAATGAAAAAAAAAACACATAACATATATATAACATATATGCATTAAATTAAAATTAAAATTTCTTACCATTTAAAAACTCTGCTCTATGCTGCAAGTTGCTCATATCTATGGAAGGTATACTCATTCCTATACCTCCTGAGCGTGGACCACCTCTGTTCTCATTATAGTTAAGCGAATCACTGGGGCCACCGTTTTCACGCCATCTTTGCGGTCCATCAATAATATCATCTTCTTCATTGTTACCACGTCCACCCCAGCGGGAACTGGCATTATTGTTTCCTCGAGTACGATCTCTACTAAATAGTTCACTTCCTATATCGCTCGTGCTGCCAGCAGCGGCATTGTTTAAACCTGGTGTAATAATCGGAGGCGGCTGATTAAAGTTAATTTGCGGTGTCGACGTCGAAGGAGGCAAAGAATTTTCATCTTCATCCATTTCAATATCCATATGATCATCGCTTGGTATTTGAGTAATAACTCCTGAAGGGGGAGGTACAATAGAAGCAGGCGCAACATTGGGTGGTGGTGGAAATTGAGTCGGTGGAAGACCCATATGTGATGCTAACGGAGCTCCAGCACCCACTGGCGGTGGAATTGGTGGAAAACCAGGAGGAATCATATTCGGAGCCATCATCATTGCATGCGGAGGTGGTGGCATACCTGGCACTAAATTAGGTGGCATTGGAATGCCTGGCATAGCCATACCCATTGGACCAAGCATACGTGGAGGTCCACCAATTGGTGGTGCCATTGAAAATTGACCTGGAACCATTGGAATTATTGGTGGTGGACCAGCTGTTGGTGGAGGTCCTGGTGGAGGTTGCGTAGTGTCGATTCCAAACATTAAGCTACCTGGAGTAGGTATAGCTGCTGGCTCATTTGACTTCTCTTTAAGACTTTTCATATGATTTATTTTGTCTTTAATCCAACCAGGCATGGTATCTTCATCAAACATACCACCCTCCTCAAGACTATCAAAATCAATATTTTCATCTAATTTACTCCAAGGGATGTATGAAACACCCAAATCTAAATCCCAATAATCCTTCCAATCCTTGCTCTTAACACCTTTACCGGCAGCCCAGGATATGGTTATTGCACGTCCCTGCAATTTATGATTTTTAAGCGCTTGCATAGCTTTAAAAGCATCTTGACGTCTATTCATTACTATAAATGCACAACCTCTTGGTACAATTTGATCAATGGTCACAATATCTCCGTAAGCCCCAAAAGTATCAGATAATTCTTCGGGATAGACCAATTTAGAAAGATGACCAACCCACAATGTAGTACTGCAAACTAAAATTGTTAAAAGACACATAATCAATTTTAAATTAATATTGTATTAACAATATAAATAAAATATTGGTAAATCTATATAATTATACAGTTTCTCTTTCTCAGTGACGTGCAGTTCTTTATGTTTATTGAATGTAAAATACAGTAAAAACTTTCCTAAATGCTATGGTCCTGGGTCAAAGTTTTATGAAATCATTATTTGGAACGATGTAACCCCAACCTCATAATTTTTCCCCCTCCGTCGCTCCCTACCACTAACCACCCACTTCCCTATCCATATAATCGTCTTGTATGCCCTTTCAAGTTATCTGCTTATAGGTCCCAGCGGGTTACAACAACAAGCAATCCCTACCCCATTTGGTCATACTCAAGATAGTTTTTACTGTACATAATTTTTTTTTAATTCCCGTTACAATGCAATATGAAAAGTTTCATAATTTTTAATAGAGTTTAGTACAATTAAGAGTTATTAGATTTACATATATATACTTAGGAATGAAAACTATATAAAAATATTACTTTTATTTTTATGAAGTAAGGAAAATTGTTTTTATATTATTTTTGTATAATAAGGAACTTTACTTTACTATTATTAATTATATCTTTAAGGTTTAATTAAAAGAATTATATTCTACCTTTCTATTGTGCATATAACTTATATAAGTATATGGTATATAAAGGAGGCATAACAGTATATATAAAGGAGACATAATAGTTTAATTAAGTCACTTATAATTTTAGGCTTTTGCTCTAAACATTAAAGATATGGAATTTATACCATATCTACAAAAATTGGGACTCTTGAACGATATTTCTTTTAACTTCATTTGTGGAATATCAACACAATAAAATAGATTGATTTTTCAACCCAAATGGTAAATTTTTTCCATTGTAAATAAGATGATAGATTTTGAAAATAAATTATGAGACGTATATAACTTCTTAAAGTTCTTAAAGTAATACTGAATTTAAATATTAGAATGAACAATTACCAAAAAGAAAAAAATTAAAAATATTACAAAATGATAATTACTATCTTAAGTGTTTTTTTTTAAATAAATGTGGAAATTATGGCAAGTCTTTAAAGTATTTCCACAATGAATTCTATATTCTTGTGGTTCAATTTACAATTTTTAAATTAAAATAATTCTTAATATATTCATGTAGGGATTAAATCTCGTTGAGATTTGTTTAGTGGAAGTTCTTAATATTATTGATATTTGCTCATTAATTGAATAATGCCTCAAAATGCCAAAGTTTGTTTATATTTAATAATTAATTGAATTGCACAGGTTATTATTTGTTGATCATTGCAAGTCACACAAAACACACGTCACCAAATATGTTAAAACTGAAATAAAAAACAAATAAAATACATTAATATTATATATAAGTATTATTAATAAGATATATGTTGGTAAGTTTGACGGAGAGTTATTTATACTGACGAAATTATTTTAAGGAAAACGACAGCCAGATTGTTCCAGTAAAGACTAGGTTAGCTTAGACTGTATAAAACAGTTCTACTGCAAAAATCCGTGATAAACAATTACAAAGAGGACTCGAGTTTACAGTATTTGTAAAATATGTAAGCATATTTGTTATGCTTTAAATTAAGGAAATCGTTTAGAATAGTAAATACTTCATTTACACTGGTGAGTGAGTTGACCAACTAGGCTAAACTAAACTAAATATTGTATTGATCTTGAAGGCAACGTATCTATAAGCGGGCTACATAGAATATGACCGTCTTTTAAACCTAAATCAGTTCTTAATTTAAAATAAAATTTTAGAACTAATCTTTTAAGAAAAATTATTAAGATATAACAAATTGCAGATTTAAATTGCAAGCATTTTTATTTTCTTTGAGAATTAGTGTAGTTAAAAAATTCCAAACCTATATTCTCAAATATAGTTTAAAAACAGACTGGGTTTTGTCTATGAATTTTGAATCCCAAAAATATTATTTAATTAATCTATCTTGTAATAAGATAAAGTTTGTAGGAAGCAATCAAAATTTGGCATATGTCATATAATTAAAATGTCATATAAAATTTATGGTCTTGCATCCAAGGATTTTAGTAGACATTGTATGTTATATTTTTGAGTGATTGACCAAAAATATATAACTACAAACAGAAGAACTGATAATAGTCTACCCCTTTGGGAGAAATGTCTAATAAGCAGAATATTTTTGATCGATAATTTGAAAAAAAAAATTACTAACAGCAGAACTGTTGACAGTGTGGTCAGAAGAAATGGAATATGGAGAAATGGAATATAAAAAAAAAATGTTTTTTTATTCCACCAGAAAGAGAAAAAAACTAACAAAAAGTTCTTAATTGAGCATTTAAAAATATATAACAGAGGGCTTTTTATAATATATATGCTTGATTAAGACCAATAGATAGCAAGAATATTTTTCGATCGATCATTTGAAAAAATATAATAGCAAACAGAAGAGCTATTTACAATCTGCAACATTACGCCGGTCAAATGGATACTAAGAATAACTTATAATCAGCCATTCGACAATATATATCTATAAACAGAAGTGCTGTTGCACCATTGAAACAAATCGATACTAAGAATAACTTATGATCAGTCATTCAAAAATATATACATATCTTCTACATTGAAAGAAATATGTATTAGAAGGAAACTTTTTGAACTTGTGATCTTCTATTAGATACTAGCAAAAAGTTCTTGATCTATCATACAGCTATTTTTTGTACAAAATAGAAGTAGAATAGTGATGGAGATGTCTGTGCATTACAATGACAGTCAATTTTCAGCGAATTTTCATAAAACTAATCAATTCTTGTGATCTTGATCTATTATTCCTTCATACTATATCTGCAATTAAAATATATAAAGATTATATTAATAATGTTATATATAATATAATGTTGTGCTTTTTTTTAAATAATAAATAATTGTCATTACCACTCAAGTGTTCCTTTTTAATATCTGGTAAACCCTTTTTGCGGCGTTCGCGCTCATGCTCACGATCTTTCTCCTTATCACGATTGCTGCGTTCACTACGATCTCTATCACGAGAAGAACGTCGCCTATTTGAACGTGGCGAACGCGTGCGTGATCTGGAACGTGAAGAACGTCGTCTACGATCTCTGCCACCACCACCACCGCCACGACGATCAATCGAACGTGAACGAGTGCGACTACGACGTCTCTTATAACGATCACGATCTGGTGTTGTGCTGCGTGAATCATTGCCATCCAAATTGATAACCTATTTCATAAGTGAATTACAAAGTCAGGATTTACACAAAATTTATTTTATACTTAAACAAAAAAAAAAAAAAATAAATGATATAAAAAATATAAGTCCATGATAATGAAATAAAAACAATAATAAATGATTAAAGAAATAGTAAAACGGAAAATCAAATGAAAACTTTTATATATAATATATCAATGACTTTTCGTTTTACAACTTCTTTGTGATATATCATAATTATTTTTTCTTTAAAAAAAATAATAATAAAAAAATAAATCTGCTGCTGTCAGTCATGTTTGAAGTTTTTTATTTTGTTTTGTTTTTTTTTTTGTTTTGGTGTTGACGTGTGCTTTGGGCTTTAATGCAATTTCGCAATTTTTATTGTAAAATACTTCGGCATTTTTGTTATTATCAATTTGAGCAATATATCTCGAACTAAACACTATTATTTTCCTTTTATATTAAGTATTATTTTATGTACAAACTTACCAAGCTCTATCTATGCAAACGTTGTTATATCTCATGTAGCTCATCGGGCGGAATTTCAGTACACCTTACCTTTACAATTTCTAGGAAATTGTGTGAAATTCCGACGTGTTATAATAGTTTTAAGTATAATATATAATTTGAAAGTAATAATAATAATATTTAACAGCCAATGCAATTTTTAGAAAATATCATTTTGGAGTTTTTAACGAAAGTTGCAACTTTTATAAAATGCTATGAAATGAGTAGATTAGTGTCAATAACGAATTTAATTATTTTGTTTTTAAATAATTAGGTTTTAATAATTGATTGTAAAAAGATAAACATATGGCGAATGATTTACTTTTAATGTGTTAAAAAAAAGTTTTTTATTTTTTTTTATTTAATTAAATAAAATTGATTGAAATATATAATTTTGATTTAATCAATAATTTTGTTAAATTTTTTCTTGTATGCAAATAAAATTTATTTAATTATACGAGGGCGGTTTGATAAGTCAGAAACTTTTTGAATAAAAAAAATTTTTTTCGGCAAATAAACATTTTATTTTTCTACATAATCACCTTTTGGCTCGATACATTTAGTCCAGCTTTTTTCTAATTTTCTTATTTCCTCCAAATAATTGGTATTCTCAAAGCTCTCAAAATATGCGTTTGTTTCGGTAATGACTTCTTTATTCTACTCAAATCTCTGCACGGGATATTCAAAAAGTCACTGACTTATCAAACCGCCCTCGTATTATACTATTTTCATTATTATAATTTCGTTAACATTTTCTGAGCAAATATAATTTTTTTACAATTTATATTTTAAATTCAAATTACAAATATTTTTAGTTTTCATAGTATCGTTTCGAAGAAGCACATACTCTACTCATTTCGTTTACCATAATATCAAGATTTTAAATTTAATGTTTTTGTGGCTATTCTTTTGATTCATAGTTGGTAAGAAGTTACATATAATGCAAGGATCAGTATTTGATATATATTTTCTTTGAAGTTATTGTAATTCTATCCACTACACGATAGTCATAAGGTTTAAATAATTAAGTGGGAATTCACGGATGAAACTATTTCTGCTTGTTTATATACGATAAAAAGTACTAATTAATAGTATTTATTTCAATTTTGTGATAGGAGTAGTTTAAGATTTACTGAGGAGAAGCTTCTCTCTTTAATTTTCTTTTTAATTTTGTATAACATTTTTCTTTCATATCACTTTGCACGTCAGCACAGATAAAATGGAATTCTTTATACAGATTAAATAAAACCATTTTAGTAAACTTACAAAATAGTTTTAGTTAACCAATTACTTTTTAATGGGAACAATGTGTAATAAAGTGAACAATAAATTTATTAAATTTTATATAAAAGAAATCAGTAATATATAAATTTTAAATAATTCCATTTTATGCTGTCATTGAGTCGTTGTAAATTAAACATATGACATAAAATATTTTTAATATTTAATATATATTTATTATTAAATAATACCTCTATACTTTGTTCTTCTGACACAAACTCAACCTCTCTTAAATCAGTTCCATCTTGGCTACCCATGGTTGCTGAAGTCTATAATTGCATAAATTTTTATTAAATAAAATTTTTAAAAATTAATTAAAAAAATGGGAAAATAATTATATTATTACCTTTAAAACAGTTTGCATAAAAGCCTCCTCCTGCATTCTTAAATCATTCTTATGTTTATCCTCTTGTTGTTTAAATTTTTGGAAATTCTGTAATGTTTGTAGTTGACGTAACACGTTTGGATCATTTAATAATTGTTTAATATTGTTGTTCTAAAATAAAAATAATATTTAAGAATTAAAATATTCTATATCATAAAATATAATTAAAATAAATGTACACCATTGAAAAGCATAAAACATAAAAGTTTTAAAAATTTGTATACGAGTCAGGGCTGTGAGTTGTGTATATTTTGTAAAGTTTCGCAATTCATTGGTATGAGAATACCCAGAACCACGCGTTCGATCGACAGTTTTTATAAAACATATCCTTAGGACGTGTGCGAGTTCGAGTAAATTGACGTAAAGTAAATTGAAATTTCCTAGGGATTTTTTGCACTGCACTTATGTAAATATTAATTTATTTATTTATTGCACTTATTTATTATTTTTGCTTAAAAGTTTTAAATAATTTATTTATTTATTAAACATCTTATAAAATTTTTACAATGGTAACACCTAATTTACCTAATTTTTATCTAATTTACCCTACTCGAAATTCTGGTAAATACCAACATTTGCTGTCATACCGACATAATTTACTATTTCCCTCAATTTACTCGAACTCGCACACGGTCTTAGTTTTAATTCTATTCATGATTTACTTCAGTTATACTAAAATGTTGCAGATCACAACCCTGATATATATTTAATAATAATTTTCTATAAAAAATATGCATATAACATATAAATAAATTATATTCAAAATTAATATATTTAATATCAAACAAAATATTGCATAAGCATTGTTTAATAAAGTAAAAGGGTTAATTATAAATTTGCGCATGCGTATGGGTACTCTCAAAGAAAAAAATACTATGAATATTTAGGTCAGAATATTAGCTTATACCTCTCATGAAATTTACTCAACATAACCCCTTTAAATACCTATAACATTTTATCAAACTTAAGTAACGAACTTATTTTATATAAACAAGGATTGGCTTTGGCTAGGGTATAAACCCTACCGTAATTTTAACGAACTAAATGTTATAATGCTATAAAGAAAAAAATATTTTTAATAATATTTGATAGTAGTAAAGTTACTCGTAAGTAAATAAGAGCTTCATGTCTATTAACATCTATCATGTTGTTATTGTAATAGTCCTTGAAGATGTATATAGTATGAAAGGAATTACAATTACGAATATATGTCTTAGGATATAAATGGGTAAAGGAAGTGTAAGAGATAAAGTGTTTGTTTGGAAACAACTGTAGATTAAAGATGGATGGGATTTTAGTTGAAACTGACCTGAGTCAAAGCGAACAAACTTAACGACTTTAATAGGAAAGAGCCAAACAACTATCCATCAGAAATTATATTGCAACTCTACCTTATTCTAAGCTAAGCTTAATTTAATTTTTAATATGTGTATATAATATTTATAAGTCAATTTATTTATAGGTTGGTTATGAGGATTGGTCACTTGAGCACAAATAATTAACCATTGTGATACAATTTATTAAAAGCTTATTAAAAAAATTGATTCCCTTCAGAACTTTAAGATTCCATGAGAATAACAATGAAACCTGAACTGATTAAACAGATAGAAAATGACAAGGAGTCATATAGACCATCAGTGTAAAGCAGAGCACTACGCATTTACATATTGCATACACACATGATTTGATGTGGCTTGCAACAGACCCCAAATGAACATAAGGCATTTTGCAAACAGAACCGATTAATTTGATTTTTAATATTAGTATATCTTATATATGCATTACTAAAGAAATACATAATTTTGAGGAAAGAAATAAACAAATATAGTTTTGAATACAATTACTTAAATCCCAACAATCGCTGTATAACGTTACATCAAATTCTATAACGATAGGTTTTAAAGCATTTTGTATCTTTAATAAAGTTTAACATGCTATTTAAGAGAATATTATCCAGCAAAGATCTAAAGGAGCCTATTACTACTACTACTACTGTCCACTACCCCCAGTGTGGCATAGGGCCTCAATAATTCTTCTAAATCTGTCTCTAATTGGTGCTTCTCTGTAGATGTGGTTTCATGTATATCGTGCTTTAGCTAGCTTACTTATGACCGCTCTTGTCCACGTTTTCGCTGACGCACCAGATCTTATGCTACCTTGTGGATTCCATGCCAACGATTGCCTTTTATCGTATATCAATGAGAATTCGCTAGAAAGTGACAAAATAGATGTATTTTTCTCTTTTTCACTGCTGCGGCAGGTATAAAGAAATATTTAATCTTCTAAATTTTATTAGTCTCATATCACTGACGTTTTGAAATTTTTCGACTTCCTTGTCAGATGAGATTATTTTAATAACTAATGCAATAAACTAAAAATAACCAGATCTATAGAAGAACATGTCAAAGTACGGATTTCGAATTGTCAGTGAATCAAATCTAAGCAAAGTTATTGTTACATATAATATCTTATAGTTTAATTCTTTATATTTCAACTTTTATATATATCAAAATACTGATAGTTGAAAATATAACATTAACAAAAGTTACTATGTATGACAACAAAACATTTATATTTGAAACAAATTATTGATCTTGGGCAATTCCAAGACCTCCAAGGTTATTTTTAAGTCTTTGTATCTTAACCTTAAACCTTATATGGTAGCACAATGGACCATTAGATGATAAGTGGATACTTAGGACCTCTGGTATAAACTAAACTAACCTAGAGAGGATGCACATTTCCTAAATAATGAAAGCAACATAAGATATTCTCACTATAAAACACAAAATAATCAAACAACGTACAAGTGTCAGTCCTAGACCCACTCCTATACGACGAATGAATGCTTCTTACTACTCTCAAGGGATGCTTAAGGCTCTATAAAAGCCCATTTAAAATAACAAAAGTTAAACATGTGATCTCTGGTTTTGTCAGAAAAGCACCAAAAGACCGATGCGTATCAGCAAGAAATTACAGAATCAGATTTAAAAAGAACTAAAACTTTATGAACAAAGCTTGAATTTAATAAAACTATTAACTTTTGCTAGACTGGAATGGAAATAATCTGTTGCAATATATATTATATGGAACATGTATATTTATATAAAATGAGCAGTTTGTGTTAAATTATTTTCCTGTGGTGTGAAGTAGACTTTAAATTTATTAGACTCCATTATTGGTTATATAAATTTTAAGAAATATATATATGTATACAAATTTAAAAATATATGTATTTATTATACATATTACATATATAGTACATATCATATATATATAATATATATGGAATATATAAACTTATATATGATATAAGTAGTATATATATATTATATATATCGAATCGAATAAGCGATATATATTAATTTAAATTCTATATATATTATCTGTAATATATATAGTAGATGTGAGTACAATAGAAAGTTTTTTAAAATGCAAAAATACACACCAAAGGAAAGTAGCTAAACAGAAATAGCTTGTTTTCCCAAAAAAAGTATTCTGTGATTTTCTGGTTCTTTGTGTTTAACCCATTACGTACCAGGCAAGTTAAAACTTGGGATTTTATGGTGAAATTACCATAGTAAATAGTAAAATAATATAAGTTTGAGTAAATGAGAAGCGTTTGATATTTATTTGAAAGATTACCCTCACGTTTGATATTTATTTAAAAGATTAAAATAAAATATCATAAAAATATAAAATATATATATTATATATATATATATAAATATATAAAATTACAAAATTATATTTGGGCTTTTGTGAATATATGCTTTAACAAATAAATTAGTTTTTATTTCTATTTATTTTAATTTTTGATTCGAAAAAAACACTTTTTTCTGTCTGACAAGATAAACTTATGGGCAGATAAGAACTGCTCGAAATATCTATTTTTATATTATTAAAATATCAAACTTGGTAATAAATATAAAAACATTGAATTAATTACTTTCATATATTTTTAAAAAATATTCAAAGCTAGCTGTTTGCACCACACGGTGGTCCGAAATGGGTTAAAAATAAATAATCAAATTGTTCATTTAATGAAAACCACGAAAAATCTTCACAAACCAAGGAAATAGTATTTTTAATAATTTAAAGTGTATATAGAGCCTATAATCTGTAACAACAAAAAATGCATACATATATCAGCAAGTGATATATAAACAAAAAAATATTTGAAATTATAGTATAAATTAAAATTGAAATGCTAAATCAAAAGGAATCAAAAAAAAAAAACTAAAGCAAATATTTGAAACACGTAGAAAGTAATGACAATATTTTACGTCAAGAAAATTCGATGGCTGTTGCGGTGAACTATCATCAATATCATCGTCATCGTCGAAGGGCACCTCATGTAGTGCTTTTGCATATTTCGAGTAAGATTCAATATGATGTATTTTTGATGTATTGCCGCCGCCGCCACCACCACCACCACCACCTACACCTCCTCCTCCTCCTCCACCAGCACTATCTATTAAACAACCGTAGCTGGCAATTTCACGCGACTTCGAAGTTGATGCTGTTTGTCGTTTTAAATATTGTTGCATATGTTCCAACTGGCGCAAAGTGCTATTATCAAGCACATTTTGCGCTTTTTCGTGACTCATGGACTGCTTGCCGTAAATGAAAAGGTAAGCATAAGTAGTTAATAACAGGAAGCAATAGTTTATATTATATAAATGGTTAGTCTTTATCCATAAACTTATAACTTATCAATATATATATATTATAAAAAATTTGCATTAAATGTGTTATTTACATACCGATAAATCAGGTAAACCGCCAATTTTATCATCAGATTGATTTACACCACTCATACTAATATCTAAACCACTGGTTGATGTATTCAAACCATTCGATGTGCTCGACATATCGCCAATACCACCCGGACCAATAGCACTTCCAGCTGGTGGCATTTGATAAATTGGATGATTTGGATCTGCTAAATCAAATATTGGTTGTATAACTTCCGGTGCAAAAACATTATTTTTCTGCCATAAATTGAGCACACGTATTATACGACTTTTATCCTCAGGCGCACAACGGAATAAATTCGCAAAGGTTTCCTTGATGTTGCGTGCAAAACGTGGAGCAAACACATCCTTTTCAGGGCCATATTGATGACGAGATTGTCGTACAATTGAGTCGATAACATAAAGACCAGGCACTTTATATTCCGGTCGACATTTTAATATGAATTTCTCAACACTTTGCACAACATGCTTGTAAAATTTAATGGCTCGCATTGCAGATTTTGTAATAGCGGCCATTTTGGCTTTGGAAATTGGTGGTTTGGAGTCATAGAGCCCAGATAGCTGCAAATAAAAAGAAGAAAAGCCTTTCAGTTTTCTTATCGATTAAGATAAATTTTTTTTTTCTTAAATTATAACTAAATAAAAAACAATGTAAGACATTATGAAATTAACCTAATGTTTTAATGGTATATAGAATAACTAATTTTGCGGCATTATTTATGGTACATTTAGACTAAGAATTTACAGGCACTAACCAAGTGGATAGTTACCCTAAAATAAAGCGAACGTTAAGTCCGGTCGCGCCTACACACTAGAGCATTTTTAGCATTGAACCATTTCAATACATTTTTTTTTATATGCAATATTAATTATTGCAATTTTTATATGCACTTTTTTTTTCTTTTTTGCATTAATAAACAATTGTAAAGATTAAGTAATTTTAACATCACTGCACAAATTCTGCAAAGCCATTTATAATTCATAACTAATAAAAAAATTTTACTAAAGGCACTCTTAATTGACACTATTTTTTTTTTTGCTTTTCGCACTACTTACCTCCGAATTAAAGGCAACGACATTTTCCATTTTGCTTTAAACTTTTTTACAACTTAAAACGATATAAACATTATTAAATGTAATGCACAAAAGTATATTATATACTCAGAAAATCGTTGATTATTTTTTTACAACAAACAGAATTTTAAATGCACAAATAAGGCGTATTAAAATTATTAGACTTTTTCCTATATCGGCTAGTCGCTCTCGCCAAGTGAAAAGGAAAAATTAAAATGGCGAATTTTCTTCCTTCTATTACAACGATTTGACATTTGCTATACGAACAATCAAATAGATTTTTTATAGATGGCGCTAGTGAAAATTAAATGTTCGGAAAAACTAATTTATACTTTTTTTTAATAAAAACATATATGACATGTTTAAAATATAAAAAAATTTAATAACTAGATCATAAATGTTATTAATTATTATATTTTTTATACACATTTAAGTTAATATTTTTAACTTTTTGCAATAGCGAATTGTAGAAGAACGTGAAGAAACGAAAGGTGAACTGGTGAACATGCTTACGGTAGCCATTTTATTACGTATTGCGTATTCGTTCATTGAGTTGAATTTTGTGAAACGCAACGCAACAATCGTACGTTATAATTGACGCAACATAAGTTCAAATTGTGTTTACATATTGATTGTCTTAAATTTACATTTAGATTAATAATATAAAATGACTGCAAATCATCGTGTACTTGATGAAGCAGATATTATACTAATCAACAAAGTGAGAACCACTCCCGCATTGTATGACCCGCGACACATTGATTTTCGTTTAGCCGATCGTAAAGAAGAAGAATGGATCTCTATAGCAACGTTTCTGGGCATATCGTCAAATGTAGCACGGCGACGCTGGACTTGCTTGAGAGATCGATATACGCGTGAACTGAAGCAGCTACGTTTACATCCAGAAAATGGAGAATTTGGGCATAATGACTTCTTCAAATCAATGGATTTCTTGCGTAAATTTGTAAAAAAGCGAAAGTAATTTTAATTGTAATAATAAATTGACAAATAAGTAATTAAATATACATTGCATTGCAGGGAGCGTCGTAGCAATATTCACAGACAAGGATATCTGCGTAACAGTGCAGACAATATAAACGCAAATATAAAATTGGATATTACCACTGATATAGATTACGAAGATGAAACGGATACCTATATGGATGAACAGCAAAACTTCAATTATAAACTTGAAGTAACTTCCAATGAAACTGGGGATTTTCGGGGATATGACGAAGGTACTGCCAAACAGTATGCACAGTTGATTATTGCTTTATATTTTGTTTTTATATTTTCCTTTAGACATTAACGATACATATGATGAAGAATATATTGATCATACAGCTGAAATTTCTAATTTAAGCAGTCCAGCAAAATCAAAAACATTTGTTACGAATCCCTTGCAAATAAAACAAGATGATGTTTTCTTGCCAAAAGTCAATTTATCTAAGGCTAAACATCAACCACAGCAGCAACATCAGGATATTGGTAATCAAAATGATAGTTTCACAGAAGTCCCCAATGAAACCGAAGATGATTTCTTTTGTAAATCTGTTTCAAAATATCTACAACAACTATCAAGGCGACATAAAATCAAAGCAAAAGTAGAAATATTTCAAGTATTAGAAAAGTATATTGAATTAGAGGAAGTTGCAACGCAAGTTATGCAATGTTGATATCAAGCAAAAACCAATTTGTTGTTTATTTCTTTATCCACATTTATAATGAGATATATTTAATAATGTTTTTAAAAAATTTTATATTCATTGCTACATTATTGTTGCGATTTTAGAAAAAGATTTTTGCTATTGAAATCTCTCTGTATAAAACAATTAAATACAATATGAAAAGATTCATCCAAATGCAGACATCTGTTGCTAATTGATCATCTTAAATAAGAAAAATCTAGCATGCTCGCTGATATACCGCGAAAGATATTAATATTATAGTGGGATTGCTAACACCGCCATTGTCGGTTGGAAAACTATATGTGCAAAAGCCTTTCTACAAAATATATTTTATAGTTAAAGACGACAATAGTATTTATGTATTTTATATAGTTTTAATAATTTGAAGTTAAATAATTATAATTATGATTTTTGAACTGTAATTATATTGCAGAAATTATTATGAATAAAAAATTCCGTACCAAGCAAATAAAAAAATTATATACAAAATTTTGTTTGGTACTTTTATACAATATAAAACAAATACCAAAAAATAATTGTTGAATACATTTCTTTAGCTGTAGTTTATGCACAAAACAATTAAAAAAACAATTGACAAAACTTTAGATTTGATCAAGTATAAAATTGAATCAATGATCTTGCATTCCAAATTTATTTGACTGAAGTTCAAAGACTGGCACCGGCAGTGCAAAAACTATACACTATAAACAGGCACAATTAATAAATATTTTTGATTATAGATAGTGAATGTTCGACCATATCCGAAACACCTATATATATGGTTGAAAAATTTTTACTAGATTAAGAATTTTGTAATATTATTTTATGTGCACTATTATCCTCTCTTCCGAACCATGTGTCGAGAATGAATATTTTCCTAGAATGATACTTAGCGCAGTTGCTAAGAAGACTAAGAAATTGCAACTTATATTAAACATATTAGAGACTTCCTTTCCAGAAGTTTAAAGTGTTATATGGTAACGTAATGGCGCTAAGTAAAACCCTCGGATCATTGTAATAACTAGGTAATCGTCAGATATGTTTTATCGTCAAATATTTAGCAATTATTATTTATACTTCATTTATTTAGAACTAAGATGTTATATGAACACCAGGTTCACGATCTTTAGCTTGTGAAAACTACGCTGTAATATATAAGATATACTCTCAATTGAATTAATTATTAGTTTTCATATAATATAATAATTGGTCAGCTGGAAAGGTAAAGTGAATGCCTTAATTTAGAAATGGTCTAATATATCGTGCCATTGATAACTTAAATAAGTTGAACAATGTTAGGCTGCATTGTAAAAATAAATTGATAATTCGGTTCAAGTAGGATATTCTGGTAAGATCGTTTAACTAACATAAGATCATGTTGCTTCGATTTGGCGGCCTACTTGAAAACTTAATTAAGGACATCTAATAATAATGTGAAAAAATTTAATATATTTAAATATTAGAAATATGAATATAGATGCCATCCAGTGGTTACTAACATAACCACAGTTTGCTAATAAGGCAAACTCTTTTACGACCATAATTTTATAAATTTTATTGATCTTCATCCAATTTTTGCCTTTATAAAAAATTAAATAAAATGATGAAAGAAATAAATTTAGGACATTTCTTCAGTGTCTGCACCTCCCGACGGAGCTGGTGGATCGGGTCCATCATCAACTTCAGGTGGAGTTGCAGCGTCATCACCTGGTTGACTTTGTACTGGTGCAGCGCCTTTCTCTTTGGCCATATTTATATATTTTAAAGTTTCCGTTTCATTTAGTATTGTAAATGGTTGATCCTTACCAACAATGGCAATAGATAAGCTCTACAAAATTAAAATTTAAAACGAAATTCAAATGAAAAAAAAAAATTTAATAAATATACCATAAGCGGAGATTGATAATCTTTGCCGACTAAATCATCATTAGGCAATGTTCCACGTATTGCCTGTATGCCATGACAAATAAGTTCATCCTTTGAACAATCGGGAAAAACTGATAAATGACGTTCTAAGTATGTACGTGCGCTCTGCGAACGTGAACCAATAGACATAGCTTTGCAATTTAAATAATTAGCTGAAGGTGTAATTTGAAATACATGTGGACCATTGTCATCGTAACCAGCAACGAGTAAACCGACACCATATGGACGACGATCGTAGCGTTGTGTTGTAGATTGCATTTTGCAACCTAATTCGCCCATTAATCGATCGACTGGAAAACTGTTGTCATAAACGTATTTATACGAAATACAACTTGACCGCAAGTAGCTAGCCAATGAGCGAGCATCAGCTGTGATTCCAGCAAATGAAATTCCTAGATGATCATCAATTTGATTTATTTTAACTTGTGAAGCAGCCAAATCTGATGCATTTCGTGGTAAAGCAACTAATAAGGCATAATCACGGCTTTTTAAGGCTACTGTCGCCGAACCTAATTTTACAGCCTCCATTGCATATTCTACTTGATGGAGACGTCCCTGTGGACTCCAAACAGTTACATCACTATCGTATTGATTGCGAAACTAAATAATAAAAAAATAATATATTTTAATAAAAGAATATTAATCAATAATATTTACTTACCATTTTTTACAACTTAACCGGACAATACTTTCTGCAACTCACTTTGTGAACGATGATAAAACAAAAATGTTGCTGCTTCTTTATTATATTGCATGCACAATAACTTTAAACGCAATCACAATAGTGTGATTTATGTATGGGCAACAACATTTAATAACATATTCACCCTGTGCGAGTATTAGTAAATTTAATCTTTTGATTAAGAATTTGTTCATACAAAAAATATTAATTTAATTTTAACTCTGTTTTAGATTTGTAAATGTAAATGCCAAATGGTACAGTAATATTTTGTTTTGTTTTAATTTACAAGAAATATTCTCAATATTGTTTCACAGTTGTACTATTGTGAATTAATAACTGAATTTCAACTTAATTTTGTACAAAATTGATATATTATTTATTAGAAATTTACATAAAATCAGAAAATAATTTCAAGTTACTATCTTACCAACGAAAATACTAAATTACGAAGCAAGGCGATTGAGCAAAACTGAAAATAGGCTAGAAGCCACGACTACAATACATGCTTAAGAACGAGTGTTATTTCAGAAGAGTGAATATTGTTTACAGTCTAAAACACAAACACAACAACTGCTAATATATATTGTTAAAGCTATTTAACAAAATAAAAAGTTTCATTTAAAAATATTTTTTGTGCATTCACACCAAAGCGAACGTTTGCGAACGAATGAACTTTTGCAGGTACGATTATCTGACTGAATTCCCCATGGAATTATATTATTTATAATCGATATTAAAACATATACCCTTTTATATTCTATATATGTTAATATTACAAACTATTACGATATATGGAATATATATATATATAACTCAATCATATATTTAACTGTATAATAGAAACACCGCATGAAAATAATTTAAAAAAGATTTTATGAACATATATATAATGAAGAAATTATATATAATATAAATATGATAACATTTTTAATTTTCTCTTAATTTCAATTTCAAATTGTTAGAATGATATATAATTGGTGTGATATATCAAAATTTAATTGCTTAACATTTAATTGTTTAATTGCTGCAGTGTCTATCAAATTACTAAAATATTCTATTCAAAATGTCGAATCAGCTTTAATTAATTTATTTCGATAAAATTTTTTTATCTTTATAAATTTAACACTTAAGCACAAGTTCAGGATGTGAAGTGAAAATACCTATTGTGAATTATTTTTAAATATTTTACGAACGCTTTACATACTCTACAAAGTCTACACAAAAATGGTTCTTGTGAAAACATACAATACAGACTCGTTCATTCGGTTTTTTACCTTCACCGATATAACTTAAATTTCATGTGAGTTGAATAATATAAGAGTATATATTAATATATGAAATATTAGAGAAATTTGTAATAATTGACGATAATTTTGGAAGATTCGTTTGAAAATATATTCCAATAAAGAAAGTGTTTGTACATCAATAAAAATCTTATTCGATTTGTGGATTTTCTTAACACGTGGTGTGAAAATGGCGTCGTCAGACTACAAATTTTTCTAATTCACATTTATTTTTATGATGAATATTTTATAATTCTTTTGCGGTTTCCACCAGAAAACTATTCAATTATTTGAAAACAGTTTAAGGATGGTTTAAAGACGTCTGAAATTTTTTATTTCTCTCACGCTGATTCATAACCTATAACTTTTACTAAGCCTCATTATTTTTTTATATTATAGAATGGCGGACGCAGCTCCAGCCCGTGGTGGTTTCCGTGGAGGATTTGGCTCTCGTGGAGGACGTGGACGTGGTCGCGGTAGAGGACGCGGACGTGGTCGTGGCCGTGGTGGCAAGGAAGATGCCAAGGAATGGATTCCAGTAACCAAATTGGGACGCTTGGTGCGTGATGGAAAAATTAACTCACTAGAAGAAATTTACTTGTATTCTTTGCCCATCAAAGAGTTCGAAATTATTGATTTCTTCTTGGGCTCAGCTTTACGCGATGAAGTACTCAAGATTATGCCTGTACAGAAACAGACACGCGCTGGTCAACGTACACGTTTCAAGGCCTTTGTTGCTATTGGTGATAACAATGGTCATATTGGTTTGGGCGTAAAATGCAGTAAAGAAGTAGCAACTGCTATTCGTGGTGCTATTATCTTGGCCAAACTTTCTGTCGTACCTGTACGTCGTGGTTACTGGGGTAACAAAATTGGTAAGCCACATACTGTACCATGCAAAGTTACTGGCAAATGCGGCTCTGTATCAGTGCGTTTGATTCCTGCTCCACGTGGTACCGGTATTGTATCTGCTCCAGTCCCTAAGAAGTTGCTTATGATGGCTGGTATTGAAGATTGCTATACATCAGCTCGTGGTTCAACTGGTACTTTGGGCAATTTCGCCAAGGCTACCTATGCAGCTATCGCTAAGACCTACGCATACTTGACACCTGATTTATGGAAAGAGATGCCATTGGGCGCTACTCCTTATCAGGAATTTGCTGATTTCTTGGCTGAGAAACCAGGCAGTGGTGTACGTCACCATGTAGAAGCCTAAACAATTACAAATTTATCTTCTAATAAATAAATTTGGCTAATCAAAAATTTTCCTATCTTTTTTATTGGTATTTATAGATATACTAGGGGTTTATGCTTTTACTTTTAATAAAATTAAATAGTAATTTGTATTGAGTAATAAAAGTAGTTTGCAATTAGCTTTGAGGGAGAGGGAATTGTGTAGATTTAATTGCATTATCTTATGCTCCCAATAAATTTTCGAGGTATTTCAGGTTTTGTCCGAGGAGAGTTTGAACAAAATATAAATAGTTACTTTATTATTTGGAATTAGAGTTTTCTACCGGTTCTCCACCCGGACCTAATGAAATATATTTTTAATTTATCTAGTCACTTGTACTCTTTCTTAAATTTTATTGGCTATTAATCAAAAAAAAAAATATGATGGAAAAGTCCTTCAATAAAGACAGAAGAAGTATGTCATCATCCATTTTGTAGTAAAGCGGTGATATGTTTTTAGATATATCTCTAGTTTTTCTGTCAAAATTAAACCTTTATATATAGTCTAATTTAGCACAATAGATCTTATAGGTCACTCTCTAGCATTTTTCTTTCTAATGATGCAGCGTGATGATGATGATGATGATGTGATCATGTTTAATAAAACATAATTCTTTCAAAATGTCTAATATCAGTAACAACTCTCGCCTACACATCATAGAGAAATGTGCGATATTTCTAAAATTAGTATTAAATATAGTTAATTTTAGTAAAGAAGGAATAGTGACGCAATAATAAAATACATTGTAAAACCGATTTCACCTGTTATTTAAGTATATACATAATTTATTGTTGATAAGTAGCCTTTCTTTGTGAAATGGTCTATACTTGTTTTTAATTCAATAAGAGTGCTACAATCCATTTAATTGTGAAAGGTCACTGAACCGCAACGAATTATATAGTAAAAAAGTAGTTTAAACCGGTTTGACAATATACTTTCTTATTGCGTAAATGCTCTTCTTTATCGGTATTCACAATATCAGCATTGATGACCGCATCTAGTGGATGTAAACAAATATTAAAGTGTGATAGGTTTCTGATAACTTCCTCTATATATGCAACACATAATCAGAAAAATGTTAATTCAAAGATCAATCAGATTTATATACCCAAGCGTATATTAAATCGACGACCACAAGTTACTCATCACTATCGAAATATGATAACATACAGTAACGACTTAGAAAATATCCGATAATAACTACAATAAATACAGATTTTTTTCTTATTGGGAAAAGCATTTAACCTGGTATCATGTGACGGATCGGCAATTGTTGGCAGTTTAAGATATATTAGTTAGAATGGAATGGCGGCCTTGTACACCACAGCCTACTTGAGTTCACTTAATGGCTAGTTATAACACAACAGTAAGATAAGATGGCTTCTCTCAATTTCTAGATAGTTGGATTTTTTTATATAATTTGTTTAATTATAATTGACATTCAGGTTTCCGGTGGAGGAATAGACAATAGTATTTTGTACAATTTAAGACGCTCACCAAACAAAAGAGTATATCTCTTGTATAGAGGTACCCAATTTATTTTGTTGTCTTCCTAGCAAATGTGCAGCTGAACTTGTTCTAGCAAATGTTCTTGGACTAAAAGGCCTTATTTGACGATTGGCTATCGATAAATATGGCAATACTACATCTGTCTTGATATAACTCGTAATTAGCCGACATGCCTAATTAATCGCTAAAACTTTAGTATGACAAACCGTGGGTTCATCAGATAGCCGGAGTAATTTATGTCTGCAAATGGCGTAGTTTGCTTGAAAGCTCTCTGTTCTCGTCTACATAAATAAGTATCTATACAGATAATCAAATGACCTAAGATTCCGTTTTGGATTATAATCGAAAACTATCGTTATTGGTGTTATATTCTAGGTAATTGTAGTTTGAACGATTATTATTATTTTGGTTGACAATTTAGTCTTACAAACTATATTCGTTGGGTACTGTTTCGTCGTGTGTTTACTAACAAGCCATCAAAAAGTCAGGCCTTCTTTTTAACAATAAATATCACCCTTTACGCAAATCTATTAAGGTTTGTACTTAAGAGTCTATTGGATAATATACATATGCAGGTAGTAAGCAACGAGATTAAGCAGTTTATCTTAATTCAAGATGTAAGTAATTTTTAACTATCTCATCTATTCGGAATGGTCATTCTAACTTTACCTATGGGTATAAGTATTTGAGAATTTCTTAGATCACATATTCTTTCTAGTTAATTATTATTATTTTAACTACATATTTTAATTAAACTGTTTCATTGTATAAATTGTATAAATCTTTAAATATAAGCAGATTACCGGCAGACGGCTAAAATGCCATAGCTGTAAGCTTTATATATATAAGATAATTGTTATTAATTTTTACAACAAATTTAAAATGAAGTAAAAATAAAGCTAATAATACTACTAATACTATAAGCAGATTGTCCAAAATTGTTCTTAGGATACGCTCTAATTCTAGACATGATATTATATTTTATATTTTTATTGAGTTGAAACTGGCACTAATTTTGGATTCATCATATTTTTCAATAAAAAAGAGACAATTTTTATTAAAGAACTAAGTTTATTTTTTTTTTTCACTAAACTACATTTAGTATAAGAAATGAAATAAAAAATCCTGACTTAAAATAATGGTTAGTTAAACTAATAGTAAGTCCGTGACGCTATAGGCTTATTATGCTTGTGTGCTCACAATGCCGCTTCCTTCGAAATGTGTGTACTTTTGAAGCAGTTCAGATCTCTTATCCAGCTTAAATTGCAGTTCTTCTCTTTTTTCGTTTAATGTGAGTGTTATAAACAGGATGCGATGATGTGTAGAATTGAAACTCCATTGTTTTTTGTGGTACTATCTACAGGAGAATAAAGAAAGGCAGACCAAAATAAATGTGCCAAGTTTTAGTTGGGCATCAGTATATGTATTTGAAGTGGATACAATGTTGGCTTGAAAGTACGTTTTCAAAATAAGATATCTTTCACAGAACTATTTTAGCCCAAATCTCTGCGAATCACTGTAAATTATCCGTACGTTTTCCGAAGTCTTCAATTTAATTCTGATTTCGTCTAATATTATAACTGATGGGGAAAAAATGAAGCGAAGTCAACACTTGTGGTAGCAATTGTGTATTTTAATAAGCCTATACGATTTATTGCTAAAATCCATTGCATAAATAAATTACTTAGAATCTTCACCAGAACGGACACCACCCAATATAGCATTGGCACAAATTCTCGTTATTTGTGGCCTGTTGTATAAGTAAATCAACCTGTTTTTGTACCGTTATGCTATTTTGGGTCTGGAAATCAGTACCAGTTAACTTGCGTTTCACTCTTTTAATAACCTTACTGGCTTTGGTATTTGTCACATCGGTATTGATTGCACCTACTAGATTTGGAACAAGTTGGCCATCAAAAGCCTTTGATTTCGCAATCGGATTACTGAGCAATAATGAATCTTCTACAGAATTGCTTAAGCTGCTGTTGCCTCCGATCATGCCTGACGTGCTGTTTTCGTTGTTTGCTTTTGATCGGTGGGTTTTGTCAGTGTCGAGCAAACGCCAATTCAGCAATGGGTCATAAACAAAAGCCTCTAAAACTGCCATAAGCGAATCCTTGTTGCGACGTAAAACCAACATTACGCTTTCGCAAGTACGTCGATAGCTACCCTCGATGCCTGTTACTTCCATTGCTTTGATCAGCATACGTGTCAAACGGAACGGTATTTTCTCGGGGAATTTCTCGCGTGTCATGGCTACTTCGAAACAATCACCGAAATCAATGTGTAATATTTTTCCACTCATGCGATCCAACATAAGATTTGAAGGATGCCGATCGCCTAAGCCAAGTATGTAGCCGACTATAGACATAACAGCAAGTGAACGTGTATAATTGGTGCGACGCTCGAACCACACTTCCGACGAAGGTGATTTTAACCATAGCAACTTGGCCAAATCATCACCTTGTGTCTGTGCGAGTGCATATTCAAATACTTCAACTTTTTGCATCAGTGTTAGATGATCATAGTCTGGTGACATGCTCAACATAGTGCGGTGCTCGTGATTCAACGGTACCTTCTTCTTATCGCGATAATCACGTATGAGTGTGTGCAGTGTATCGCAGTGTGGTACCCAACCTATAAGACCTGAATTCGTGCTTAGTGGTATGACGGCATAGCGTTGTATAGCCAAATTACGACGGAAAGTATCGGGGTCATCAAGCAGTAAAGTGTTTACGAGTGAGAACAGTTGCATCACTCGTTCGTCTTGTCGTAAATCTTCGTGACCCTTAAGCAGATACATATAGTCTTTGCCATTGGAGCCACGTATGCAGAGCTTACGTGGCCGTTGTTTGGATGTAATGACTTGTAGGTTTGTTTTAATGTGACTTATGCGTATTAGTTCCTGACCTGGATTATATGAACCTGGTACAGCTAATTCCAAATCTTTACAGGCGAGCAGTTTTGGTGAAACGTATGGTAGTTCAAGAGACGTTAATTGTGGCAATTGTCGTGATATTTTCTGAAATACGTGATAGTAAATGTCCCAAGCATGATCAAGATCTACTAGATTTGAAGAAGCCTTGTAACGTTGAGTCCACTCATAGGCATCGGTTAATTCTCGTCCATATGCTTGTGAGAATGAAGTTTCTTTAAGCGTTAATGGACCACGTTCAAGCATTGTATGTAGTGGTTCTAATATATCGAACATGCCTTTTATGTTGCGATCTCCAAAGTATAGTCTAGATGCTTCCTCGAGACCTTCATGCCACTGTTCGTGCCAGAGTATCGCTACGCGTATGAGTTCCTCGCTACACATAACGGCTTGTTCGACCAGAGTGAATGAATGCTTGCGCATGGAATCAAGTATTTTAATAGCAGCATTTTTACGTGCCATCGAAGCAGACTTGGAAGCAACAGTAAGTGGATAAACCAATGCTTGTGGATGGAATTTTCCAATATCAATGAGCAGTTGATGAATTAGTTGCCCCACTAAATTACGATGTGTGTCAATTCGTGCAATAAGCTGCGGTATAACTTGTAACCACGTGTTGATCTCAATCATTTTCATACCAGTGAGTAACGCGTCATAAACGTCTGCGTGATGTCCATAATCGAACCAAAGAGTTAAAAGACGCAATGTGTCTTGTAGCGAATTACCTTTTATCAAACTTATGGAACGGAAGAAACCTTGTACTGCTGGTACAGCATATTGCTCAATGATCGCCTTCTCTTTTTGTATGTAAGCATCGCCAGGAGTATGCAGTAGATTTTCAAACGATTGTTTCTGTGCCTGCACTACTTTGTAATTCATATAGGCGTATAGATGCCAAGCTTTGTACCAGTTCGGATCATAGTCAGTGGCTTTTTCGAAACAATCCAACGCACCCTGTACTGCATCAGCATCCAGTATACCTTGTAATTCGTTCTGCCAAGTTGCTAAACGTAAATAACATCGCGCCAAAAGACGATGGTCGTCCTGTTTGACTTCCTCAGGAATACAGTTCAATTGCGCAGTATAATTGTTGACAAAATGACTGAGCTGCTCATAAGCACCCTGCATGTTGTCGGATGCAGCCATATGTTTGGTGTATGCATAAGTCACTTGCGGTTGGTTGAATGGTAGTGCGTCGTTAGCGTGTTCTGAGGGATCAATACCCATAAGCATTACTAAAGTTTTATGTGAAAGGTGCAGTGAACCTGATTTACGACAAAGACTAGCATATTTTAGCCATGTATGTACATCCTCCTGTGGACTTAGGACTAGCGAATGAACTTGTATGATGCGACGCCAGTCTTCAACTAAGCGCTGGCCTCCCTGCAATCGTTTCCACCACATTTTTTTTAACAGATCTCGTCGTTCTGGTATAAGTTTATACTGTATAACTTCTTCTAATTCGGCTAACATTTGCACACAAACCATGGCACCATAGGCGCGTTCATATGATTCCCCAGCCATTGATGTCAACTCAGTATCAAGAAGATCACGAGTTTCGTAGATCAAACGTTGAGCGGTATCAAAATCTTCATGATGTACTGCTAATACAGCGCGATAGAAACTACCATCTTGGGTTTCAGTGGGTATGCATCTAACGTACTCTTCCATAGACTCCCAATCCTGTAAACCCCATGCTGCAACTGATGCTAGAGGACCTGCACGAGACTTGGCTTCTCGACTTAAAGTGTCCCACTCGTTTTTAGCTACGCTGCTCAATTGAGACCAATCACCAAGTGCTTCCAAACAACGCATATGACCAAGACGTATTTCAAGATCTGATTGATCGAGTTTCAAATGTTTCTCATAATGTTCCAGCGCTTGATCCCAGTTATGTAATTTTTCATACCAACGACCCTGTACCTTTAGCTCATTGACAGCATTGCGGAATGTTGTTAATAAACCCTCCGCTGCCTCTTTCTGTTGCAGCTTGTTATTAATAAGTATCAACGATTCAAACACTTGCGGATCCTTAGAGGTCATAAATTCCTCTTCTTTATAACGAAGTGCTTTTGCATAAGCGCGACAAGACATGGCACGAGTGCCGAGCAGCTTTGTTTCAATTGGCAAAGGATCTTTGTCACAATGCTCCATAAATTCGGCTAGATTTAGTATCGTTTGTGTAATCTCGGGCATGTCTGTTACTTGGAGTGCTTGTATAAGTGACTGCGTTAGTTCTGTTTTATGTTCTGGAGAGAGTTCTGTCCAGCATGATATAAAAGCAGCGTTAAAAAGATCGCGTAACAATTTATCGTAATCTTGAGCGAGAACACGGCAAGCACGCAACGCATGAGACCGTGATTCCTTCAATAAACCAATGGAAAGACGTTTAAGCCACTCAACCCAGTCGTCTTTAGACACACGCCGTGTCACTTGCCAGGCAGCACGTAGATTTTTTGTAGATACATTCAGCTTTTTTATTGTTGTATGGCCATCAGAGACATTGCTTGGTGCCTCAACTTTTTTCTTTTGTTTTTCTTGCAGATCCTCAGTTACCATTGTGGAAATACTTTGGATTTTGGTCAGTAATTTTTCATATTTCGAATCTACTATACGGTGCTTAGTAATAGTACGACTGACCAATGGTACGAAAACTAAATATTTGGTGCCCAACTGTTGAACTAGGGAGCATAATGTAGACATTGCTTGGTCGCGAAGATCCGGTTCAGTATCCAAAACACGTACAAGTGCGTGTATAATGCGGGAGGAAAAATCTGTAAAATCTAATGAAGTAGCTAAATTATCTATTGTTTCCAATGCTGCTAAAGAGACATGTTGGGGCACATAAGGTGAATCAAATAACTTGACGATCGGTGGCACAATCAAGTGTAAATAGTCGCTAAGGGTATTACCGAATTTTTGCAAAGCCTGCAAGAGACGTTTTGTAACATTTCGATCCTTGGATGTGTCATGCTGTAGTACACGCAAAATTTGTGGTATCAGCTCTGATAGATAGTTACAGAACTCACATCCCAGTGCCACCGCTATTTGTTCAATCAAATTTATTAACGTAGACTGTAAAGGTGTATTTATAGTCCAAAACTCCTTGATCAATTTAAATATGTCATCCATGTAACTAATTATATGCTGCTCAACAATTTCAACAAGGATGGCCAATTGTTGAAAGAGGAACTCACGCAAGTTAATGTCTGCGGTGCGTACATTGTCCAGCAAACTGGGTAAAACTTGTGCTAAGTATGGCACACATTTCACACCCAAACTTTGAAATATATAAGTGACGGCTTGTACAACGCTAGTGTGACAGCTGCTAAGTGTAGGATCCCTTAAAATGCGCATCAAAGCTGCTATAGCAACAGCTGGATAGTATTCATCCAATATATTGCCCATATTCACAAGTAGTTCTGCTGTTGATATATCTTGATTTTCGTCCATTTTAAAATCAGACAATGAAATTAAAACGCTGTCCTTTTGATTGTCTATAAGACCTTTGTTCATTTTATGTTTATATGGATCCATTGCACCTAGCAAACCTAAGACGCGTATAGTTTCACGTCGTATTGAACGTCTTTGTTCGGTTTTAAGGAAATTAATAAGTATGTCAATTAGGCCAGGGTATTTGTGATATGGTGTCACAACGCGACCGGTCGCGCTTATAAGTTGACCCAGAGTCCAAAGGGCAACGCCACGTTTATCAGGACTACCTGCATCTCCTAACATTTCAAGCAAAATCGATAGCAGTTCATCAGCCCATAACTCCATTTCTTCAGCGCCTTCGTTGACTTCTGCTAGATCACCAATAGCACGAAGTATGTTCAATACAACACCAGGATTTGATTCCGATTCTCGCAATTTTGGTACAAGTGTAGATAGTATTGGCGTCATATATGACGAAATTAAGCTAGAATGTAAATTTAATTATTATTAAAGATACTTCCTTAAATTAGAAATGTTAGCATTAAAAATTTCAAATATATTTGAAGCAGTATAGATATAATAAAATAAAACTTAAATAAAGCAAAATTTAACTATTTCACTATAAACATAAAATAATAAAACTTAAAGTAAAAAATCATAACCTCAGTATAGACATAAGTAAATAAAATTTAGGTTTAGGTTTAGCTTATGCTGGCAGACCAAAAAGGCCACACGTAGACTATTAGGGTCCATTGCGATACCAGATCAGAGTCTTATTATTATTTTTTTTTTAGCGATAGTATGCATCGCTTGAGATGCGTGTTTTAGCGAATTTTATCAGGATTTCAACAGAAACCTCAGGTATGTGCTCCAACCCGGTAAAACTAATAAACCCCAATTATTTTCGAGTTCTTGAGAGAGCCGGGCAGTTAAATAAAACATAAATAAAATAAAAATTCATATTTTCAGTATAGAAATAAAAAAATTTAAATAAAATAAAGTAAAACTTTACAATCTTAGTATAAACATAAGAGAATAAGACTTAAATAAACCAAAAGTTAACAATCTCAGTATAGCCATAAAAGAATAAAATATAAATAAAGCAAAACTTTACAAACTTACTATAAACATAAGTGAATAAAACTTAAATAAAGCAAAAGTTTACAGTCTTAACATAAACATAACGAAATAAAGCGTTTCAAGTGGTTTACAAAAACGTCTTAGTAACATACCGTGGTGTACTGATTATAAGATGATCCAACATACGAGCGGCTTGTTCTTTATTACGACTCATGCCAGAGTATTCCAACTCTGTAAGCAATTGTATCATTGTTTCCCGCAATTTGGGCATTACATATGCTGGATTTACAGCAGAGAGTCGTCCTATTGTTACCATAGCCAGTTCACGTATTTCGAAAATCTCGTCATTCAGAATTATAAAAAGCGCACTCAGTGATTCTGGCTGTGCTAGTGCAATATCGAAAGTTTCATCCAAAGAGCGCAAAATGCCTATACGAACATTGCAGTCCGTATCAGTAATGGCTACAATTAACAAACGTTCTATGACATGAGATAGTGTTTCTCTAAGTGTTCTGGAATTCTGTAAGCTGTCAGCAGTTTGTATAGCTAATTTAAGAAGTCGTGTACAAGTACGCACTGCTTCGAAACGAATTTCCTGCTGCCAATGACTGATGTAACAGTCAGCGCATCTGAAATGTATGAATGCAGATATATATTATATATACTATTAAACAGATTTTCAACAAATTTTACCTTTGTACAAAATCTAACATATTATGTTCCTCAAAATTGAAAGTACCGAGCGTTTTGAGTGCTAGTACAAAAGTGGGAACGTCATATTGTAGATGTAGAGACGCCTCCACTGCAAGTGTTGGCATAGCTGCATATGGTATAGCAGCAGGTTTATTCATTAACACTTGTGATAAAATACCAATCAAACCGTCAGCGATGGCTTCTTTTAAGACTGGCACATTCTCCGCTAATTCACGTAGACACACTGTTAATGCAGGAGACAAACCGGTAGAGAACATTTGTTCCAATATATCTCGCACATCATCCGTAATATTAGATTTCACAGCATGAGCTAACAGAGTAACGCAGGCAAAAATTGCGGGGTCAATAGGAGTTTTACGTTTGCTAGGTAGGTCCTTAGCAGGCAGTGCTAGCTTAATGGCGCACATTATAGTTTTTAAATGCTTATTAATATCATTTTCCACAGCAACTGCAATATACCCAATAGTAATATATGCAATATTACGATCCTTTTCCTTTCCACGTAGTATGCTCAGCAGATGTTGTATGCAAACTTTTAAATATTTCTGTACAAATGTATTGCGGTCGAAAGCAGCTAGACGAGGCAAAATTTGTAGCAAACCCTGTTGTACATAGGTAGACTTTGAAAGTCTTTGTTCAAGCACATTGTCGCATATGGTAATGTAATTCTCAGTTAAAATTTCACGTGAGTATGTGGACTCAAGTATGTTGAACTACAAAAAAAAAAAATAATAAAAAAAAAAAATAATAAAAAAAAAATAAACCAGACGAATTAGAAATTACATTTATTTGAGATAAGTACTTACTGCTGAAAACTTATTTGAAGTTGTGTTTTGATACTCAGATTCTAATTGAGTCTGCGTGGAACCGACTTTTTGTATAAATGGCGCTTTTAATCGTGGTACTATGGTGGTTAGTTGATTTCCCACTGAACTAGAAGTATTGGTCTCACAATATTTATTCTCTTGTGCTTCGGGCAGTAAGGTTTTTAGGCTATTATAGCGACGCTCCCAGGCTGCATTCGAACAACGAAACAATTCATTGAATATGATAAGAGCACCATGTATGCAATCATCACGTGTCATGCCCTTCTGCTCTTTGCCCACGTTAATCTCTTGTACGAAACTGTTTTTTGCTTCCCCATAGCAAATTTTATACCATTGTGGTTCACTTGATTGTTTTGTATTCTCACGTTGTGACGTTACAATCAATGCAGCACGAAGCGCTTCACCTGCGGATTCACGTATTGATGGTTTTTGATCGAATATTGCATTAAATATATTGTCGAAAAATGTAGAAATTTGTTGATAAAAATAGGTAGGCATTGCAATTGCCAATTCTCGTAAAATAAAAACGGCAGCGTGACGTCGGTACTGAAAAAAACAATTAAAAACAAAAAAAGTTGTGTAATTACAAGATATAAAAATAAAGTTAGCGTTACTTAAGCGAATCTACAGATCTCGGACGTGTGCGAGTTAGACTAAGTTGATGCTAAACCAAATGGGAGATTTTTTGGAATTTTATGCACTGCACACATTTAGCCATTTATCAACATGTATCGACACATCACTACATTTTTGGCACAACTTAGAATTTCCCTCATTTAGACCGCAACTTAGCCTAACTCGCACACGTCTCTAGCTTAAATATATGCTAACTTAAAATTATTTAATTTTTTATTCATATATTTCATATTTTAAATACTTAAGTTACTTATGTAAATACCTCTTGTCTATCACCACTAAGCATTTCGAATGCACGTTTTATATCAAAGTCAAATGATTCTGCGCCCTTAGATCCTGGCAGATTTGCTAACTTAACCAATGTTCTGGCAGCGATTTCCATAACGGATACATCATTTGACGGTAGTAAGTGGCGCAAATGATTGTAATATGGTGAAATGCGTTTCATAGTATTAACAACGTCACCGCTTATAAGGCACTCTATAGCCGCAAAAAGAATGCGTATTACATATTAGCAAAATATATTTTTTTTTTCAAATTTAATATGCACATTTCACTTACTTATAGCTAAGACACCTCCTTTCTTTTCATTAATATCTGCAGACATCACCATACTGAATATTTGGTGATTAAAGTCATCAAAAAATTGCACTAACTCCTCCTGCGACATTTCTCGTAATTCTGTTTTAACGTATAGAAAAAGGTCCTGGGCAGTCTTACTTTGCACATTTCGATTTCTGGACTTTAGGCCAGCAACGAATTGCTGTACTATTGAAGTTGTAGCCATTATGCTACTTTAAACAAAATATAACTTTTGTAATGCTTATATAGACACTATTTTATTGATATATTTCACTTTTAACTTATTTAGGTCCCATCCACTATGCAATTCTCAATCTCTGTCTGGTTCATGCTGTCAAAACGCTATTAAATGCAATCTGTGTAGAGTTTACACGAATCTACAAAATGCCGAAAAAGACGTAAAATTGGTAAACAAACCACAGCTGTTTATGCAGAGCTGCCACTTCTTACAAATATTGATATCGTATTTTCGAATATTGTATTTACACGTATTGTTAGTTAACAACCCAAACATTTAAGAGCTTTAGATTTGCCAGTAATCAGCAAATAGTTCATTTTTTAAAAAATAATATTATTTAATATATTAATTGTAAAATATTAATAATAAAATATAATACGTAATCGATTTCTAGACACTACGTCAGCATAAGATCATATTTCTTTTTTTGCATTCTTATGCTGAAGTACGTGCTGTACTCAAAAAGCAATAAATCCAAAAGCAGTTTATTAAAGCGCTTCATAGTGAGCTAAATTCAATTTGTGTTTAATTTTTGTATAAAGTCTTCACAGAAGACATAAAAATTGAATAAAATAACGATTGTACAAAGGACAATTGTTGACTTGTATATTAATTGCTATCATATTTGAAAAAAAACATATGCAATTATATTATAATTAAACTTAACAATTAAGAGTAATTGCACAATTAAAATTAAATAATTATAATAAGGCAATTATACAGTAAATATATAGTAAATCATGTGGTTTATCATATTCGTTAAATTTTTTACACATTATATTTAATATAATTAAACTATTCCTAAAAGAATCAAAATCTTTTGTGCCTCTTACACTAAAATTTATATATACATAATTTTATAAATAAAAATAAATAAAAATATAAGCTAATTAAGCTAATGGGTTCATACCCCATTTATAAAGGTTTTAATCCTTTTTATTTTAATTTTTATTAATTCATCTAAAATTTTATTTTTTTTTATCATAATTACAGGAACAATTATTACAATAATTACAATAATCACAATAACAATTACAATAACAATAATTACAGTTTAGTACAACAACGAACTAAAAGAATTGTCCAAATATAGTATCACGAAGCAATAATAAGGGGAAATGATATATTTATCCACTTTAGGATTTGTTGAAGATGGTTTTATACACCTGAGTACAGTGTTGTATATCAGTTTTGTGACACCAAGCTCCTCCAAATGTGTGTTTTATGTTTTATTGGTAATGTACTGTATAATTATAATTATTTTTTTGTAATTTATATTAAATTATTGCTACATTATATGAGCATTATAAGAGTACCCTGAAGTATGATTATAATAGTATTAATCAAAGTATTGGTGTAACAAAAAATTTTTTAAAAATTAAATATGTTTAAAATATGTATTATTTAACAACTGCCCAATTAGCTCGTTTCAAAAACAAAATTATTATTATTCAAATCAAAATAAAATGAAACCGACCTAAAGCTTGGCAAAAAACAAATACTTTTAAACAATAAAGGTCCGTACCAATATTTACAAATATTTAAAAACATATATAATAAAACTAAACCCAACTCTAGAAATGGACGATTTTGTATTTAACATCTCCAAACATTTCTTAATTGCTTTTCAATATAACTTGCGATTATCAATTATATTGCACTGTGAAGGAAAAACCTATTAAGATAAACGAGATTTAAAGAGAAAAGACATATTTATAAAATTTGAATTAAGAAAAGTTCAGTTTTAAAAATAAAGTAAATGTTTTGTTTCTTATGTCATAACTAAATCTTTTAACACAAATAAAATGCTTTAACTTCTACTCTGTAATTTTAATGTCTGAAGGTAAAAAGTTTCCTCAAATTATTGCCGGGTTAGCAGCAGCTGGGGGAGCATTTGCTTGTGGTACAACTTTAGGCTGGAGTGCACCCGTGCAACATGCTATTCAAGATGGTTTCTATGGATTTAAAGTTAGTAATGTTGAGTATTCGTGGGTCAGTTCGTTAATAACGCTAGGTGCAGCCTGTGCATGTATACCAATAGGAATTGTGATAAATATTATTGGACGAAAACCTACAATGCTCTTGCTAGTCATACCATTGATGGTAGGTTGGTGTATGCTGCTGTTTGCTAAGAACGTGGCAATGTTGAGCGCAGCACGATTTATACTAGGATTTTCTGGCGGTGCATTTTGCATAACTGCACCAGTATATACAACTGAAATAGCGCAGAATGAAGTTCGTGGTATGCTTGGAAGCTTTTTTCAATTATTACTTGTCATTGGTGTGACATATACTTACGTAGTTGGCGCATTTTTGGACGTATTTTGGATGTCAGCTTGTTGTGCAGCCATCCCTATAATTTTTGTGGTTTGTTTTATTTGTATGCCCGAGTCGCCAGTTTATTTGGTTATGAAAGATAAAATGGACGCAGCCAAAAATTCATATAAATTTCTACGAGGCGCTGACTACGACCCTACAACAGAAATAAATGAAATACGCAGCACACAACAGAGTAAAGATGAAAATAGTGGCCCGATTAAAGCTCTGTGTCGAGGTGTTGTGATGAAAGCATTGGGAATGTCTATGGCTCTTATGTTTTTTCAGCAGCTTGGCGGTATTAACGCAATTGTATTTTACTCCACGGACATGTTTAAAAACGCAAAAACCGGTATAAGTGCAGAAATGACTACGATCTTAATTGGAGTTCTAATGGTTGTGTTTACTTTTGTTGCTACACTTTTTATTGATAAACTAGGACGCAGACTTTTACTGATGTCTTCAGGACTTAGCATGGCTTTAGCCACTTTTGCTATGGGCATATATTTTTATATGTATGATAATGACAAAAATTCAGTTGAATCTATTAAAGTGCTTCCAGTAATAGCTGTATTGTTCTTTATTATAATGTTTTCTGTTGGTTATGGACCAGTGCCTTGGCTTTTTATGGCAGAAGTTTTTACACCCGATGCCAAAGCATATGCTGGACCAATATCTGGGACAAGTAATTGGCTGATGGCCTTTATCGTAACTAATACTTTTTTATTAGTGCGAGATGCAATCGGTACTGGTACAACATTTTTCCTATTTACGCTGATTTCGGTAATCGGTTTTATATTTGTATTAATTGTTATTCCTGAAACAAAAGGTAAATCTATTACAGAGATTACAATGGAAATTGAAGGAAAAAAAGCTTAAAATATAAATGTTATATATTTTTTGTAATTAACTATATTTTATTTAATTTTTATTGAATAAACAAAGTACTATTTATTGAAAAAACTAGAATTTGGGTTTTAATTGAGTGAATCTTATAATTGCACTTTTCGTTAACCGATATATTTATCGCCATAAATATATAGCATACATTCAGAAATTTCATACAAACCGATATATGCGGAATATGTTATTAGATTTAAAAAAGAACAAGTGGTTTTTGTATTTTATTGCCTTTTATTGTCTTAAGTATTGCCTTGAAATATGTGATAGAAAATTAAATTGTGGAGCAAATTTTATATAAAATTAAGTAATAATTTTTTAAAAAATATTAGACAAAACTGAAGTTAATGCACTTTCTGAACATTTTTTGTATAATATTTAATTTTTAGTAATGTAACTATATTAAATTTTCTTTATGATTTTCATGATTCAAGCATATCACACATACATAATGTGCATATATATATATCCGATTTTCATTGCCCTAGTGTAAACACTTTCGACTCATTTCATCATAAAATTATTTTTTCATTAAAATTAAACATTTAACATAACTCCAAAATCATATTATAATTGAATTGAAATTTGTATAATATTACAATATTTATATACAATATTTTGCCTTTGTCAATAAAAATTATCCACAATATTATCACACAATCGTGATATTACAACTTTGTTTTGTACTGTACTAATTATAATTTAATCGTAATTTTGGTAAAACCAAGTTGTAATAATACGACTGTATATTGATATTGTGAATAATTTTCATAAATTAAGACAAAATTAAAAAATATTCTTATGATGTTTGACATTTTTATTTTCAAGCACAACTACTGGAAATGAGAAATAAAATAAAGATATTCGTAATATGAACAAAATTGGTTTTAAGCTAAATGAGCAAAATAATGAAGTTTTCGATTGCTAAATCTGTGGTAACTTTTTTAATTGAGATTCACTTTTAGTGCAATTTTAATTTTCGATTAGTAAATCTATATAACACTCGAGAATAATGAATAACAGTCGAAATTAATTTAAAACATTCTAGATATTTTGCCAGAGTACCAAGATTATCCTGAAATTAACAACTGTTTTATATGACAATAAATAAAGTGTGATTTGATTCAATAATTATTACATCGGATATATATACTTTTTTATCAAATCATAATATGTGTTTGATAAAAATTCCAAACTGTATCAGATTTTTGCTTCTTTTTTTTAAAGGTTAATTGTTAGAAATTTATACAAAACTGATATTGCAATATATAGATCTCAAATCGAAAAGTTGTGTGATTTTGCTACGACTTTGCTATAAAATATTTGTGTTAGAGTGGCAACCACAACACTTATCGACAGATATTTCAGCTGTTTTTGACAGCTCTGCGGATCAAAACAAAAATAGACAAAAATTTCTGTTGACTGATTAAAAGTGCGTTAAATGTGATAAATCCAGTTTGGTTTACATAATTAAAAATAATTTGTTTAAATTAAATTTTATAAAAGTAACATCATCATGGGTGGTTGGGTATTGGAAGTCTGCAAGATGGCAATGTACATGACTTTTCCAGTAGCGTTGTTCCACATTTTCAATCAACCGGACTATTTTGAAGAATGGGTCACTAAAAAGAAGCGCGAGCTGTATCCTCCAGAAAATTTAAGTCACCGCGCAGAGATCGAAGAGGCAATTCGTGCTGTGCGTGAAAAACGTAATTTACAAATGATGAAAGCCTTTGATGAAATTGAACAAAAGTCTAAATAGTGTATGAACTATTGAACAGCATTTTATATAATATTCTTTTTGTTTTTAAGTAATGTAAATATTTAAGATTAAACTTGTTAAAACAAAATGATCTTGTGGTGATTTTAAATGCCGAAATAAAACTTCTTTAAACATAAACATAAATTGTATGTAAAGGATATGAATTTTTGGGTTGAATAACGTTTAAAGTGTTTATCTGTTATATATATCTTTTTAATTAGATTTAGGTCGATATAGCTATTAATAACATTTAAATATGATTAATGCATTATTGGGGTTGTTTGGTTTCTAAAATCTAATTTAAAAAATTTTTTAAATTTGAAAATAGTTATTTAGTGCAGTTGACGTAGAAATAAACAAATTGAAGTAGTAATATTTTTTTCCACATAATGACATTTTAAATATAATAAATGTTTATTTTGCATTATACATTTTCCTAAGACTCAACGCTATTTATATATAATATACGTTAAAAAAATATAAGTTAACTAGATCTTTTGTGCATATACAGTAGAGTTGCATATATCTTTGGGCTACAATAACAACATCAATAACGTTTACTTAGTGATCTAGGTATGCCGGATTGGATTTAATATATTAATTTTGCAAAGATTTCAGTAGTCTTATTTTATTTTAATATATTATAAATAAATCTAGAATGGCATAAGGTTTTAAGTCAGAGTTTGAAATTGCTTAACTATTTTTAAGCAATTATTTTTGATTACACAAATAAACGCTTAAATATTTAAGCTATGAAAGATCATTCTGTTAAGAAACTTCCGTATGCAACAAGTAACAGTTTAAAAGAATGACACATGCATTCCTCGCTCAGCTAAAACTGTACTACCTCAATTGAGATCAGGATACAGTCAATTGCTAACAGTTACCTGTCACGTATAAATGTGTTAATCTGTGCCCTAAGTGCAGCTCTACCTCCCATGATGTCGTCCATCTGTTTTTATGTCCCAATGCACACACTAACTTGAGTCCAATCGAGTAGTATACATTTGTGTTAACAAATCCCTTATTATGCCTGTGCTGAGCAGTCGTTAAGAGCATTCTGACCAGGTCTGATTGGGCTAGGTCGTCTCAAAGGTTATTATACGCGGCCAAGGAGGACTCACGTTTGAAATGGCCAACGAAGTAAATAAACATTTACAATGTGCCTTTCTATCTTTTGCGTATACTATAATATTAATCTATTTAGCATGACGATTTATAGTGGAGTTATTATCATCGAAAGTAATACTGTGTTCAATAATAAATTAATATTTTTGTTTAAATATATTTAAATATATGTTAACATGGAAATTATACAATATAAAATGTATTTTGATAATATAGAAGACTATATAAAAATTGTGCATACAATAAATATAATTCATACATACATATATAAGTAAAAAATACATCATTATAAATAATTCAACCATTTTGTTTTATATAAAAAGTTAAAAATGCATAAACACGGAAGCAATGAAGTGTAAATATATAGTTGCCAATGTATTATTCAGTTAATATAATATAAACCGTGCAACGGTTGTTTATATATTTGTCTAATGAAATATGAAACTAAAAGGATGTTTCACCCGGATAATCGCTTATTAGTATTTTCTTAGTTACTATGTAGCTTTGAGTGTTGTCAATATTTTCCTTATTTGTTAAATTTGATGTGGTTGCTGTTGTTTGCGTTTTGGTTGATGTGGAAGTTGCGATTTTATTAGCTGTACGTTTGCGTGCATTGTTAAGTATGACAAATGGGTTTGTAGAAATTGAACCTATTCGTTCATTGCATACTTCAGACATAGAATCTATATCTGTTTCCATAATATTTGAATTATTAACTTTAAGTTCTGTGGAATTACTATCTCTATCCGGCTCATTTCCATCCAAACAGTACAATAAGCTGGCACTTAACTGTGATTCATTTAGGTCCTCGATTTCTTGTGTCGAGCCGAAATCATCAGGTTGACTAAAAAACGACGAGTCAACTGGACTGGCAGTGAGTACACTACGACTTAGCAGATATTCTCTGCAAATTAACGTTATTAGTTAAATTATGTTATAAGTAATTAATGATTTATATATTATTAAATGTTAAAACTTACTTGAAATTATTGGACAACGCATCAGCATCTAAAGAGGAACAGTTATTTTCGCCAGTTAAATTGTTGCTACCTCTTGCTGCTGTATCAGCAATGTTCAACGAGCCTTGTTGTATAAAACTTTGATTTTCCAACAATAGTTGTTTGCGACGCAATATGTCAGAGTAACAACCAACAGAGACTGCATCTTCATTGTGTAAATTTATATGGTGTGTCTCCATTTTTTCGCAGTCTGTAGAATCGTCTTCATCTTGCTCTCGGAAACTTGACAAATCCGTTTGACAAATTGTTTGGTTTTGATCTGAGTTCCCCAAATTGGTCAACACCATAACGGGCTTACGAGAACGTGGTGTCATTATTGACTCCTGCAAAATATAACAGAGTATTGGTTTGTTATACATTTCCAGACGAATGGATATATGCACAAACATTTACATAAAACATTGAAATTGAACACACACAAAACAAAATATAAAACATTTTTGGTCATGAGAATAAACAATATTTACAAAACACAAAAATTGGTACAATATATATAGTTTGCTGCGCCGATTCTTACGATTTTAGTATAACTTCAAACTCCTACTGCACTTACTTGCATTGCTTTTGGCATACGTTGGGTTGATTTAGTTATTGGCGACATTGAACGTCTTCCTAAAAACATTGAAGGTGTGCTAGTCATCAAATCTATATTACGATGTATCAGGTTTTGTTGTGAGTGTAGAAAACTGGCACTGCAACCGGGCAATTCACTGCTGGTACTAGTCGTACTTGCTAGTTCATTCTTAACGTCGGTTTCAGATTCAATTTCACTGTCAGAGTCTAGATGATCATTTGGATTTTCTTCAAATGTATCATCATCCAGTTCATCATCTATGTCGTCTAATAAATTTTTACGATCTGAACGTTCGATATCACCGGCTGTTTTGCGCAGAGTTGCTGAAACGCTACGCACTAACCTCCTAGTCGGATCTGGTGTACTGAAAAATTTAAGATTACCCATGCTTACACCTTTAATAAGTTTGCGTTTAAATGATAAACCAGTTTTGGATATAGCCGACATATTTGTTGTTGACTCTGTAATTTTGTCCGGCAGAATCCGACTCAGATTTGGTTCTGATTTGTAGCGTGATTTTAAATCCATATTGTTTTGTTTTGCAGGTGTGCAAGGATTAGAGATTTCTTCCACTGTTAACAAGCAAGCATCATCCCAAGCAACAGTTTTTCGTGGATTCGCATTATTTGTGTCATTTATATTACTACTAATCAACTGTTTCGCTGCTTCGGAAATAAGTTTAAGTGGCGTTGCACAACAATTCATGTCAGTAAAGAGTTCATTTTCAGTTTGAACACCAGTTACGGATGTGTAGGATGCACTTAATGCCTTTGTACCAGGTAGTTCATTTGATGTTTGACGACTGACGGGCGCTGATATGGAGATGGTTGGTATTGAATAATCACTGCTACATGTTGACAAAGTATCAATTCCGTCAGCGGAGTTTTTTGAAAAACCATTTAAATTTGTATGCGATGATGAAGAATCAATGGGTTTTATCAGCGAATGAGTATTAATAGCATGCGTAAAATTAGTACTACTGTTGCATGTAGATGAAGCAGTGCTTGCTGCAGGTTTCATTTCCGCTGCAGGACTTTGAAATAGCACACGTAATTTTGGATTTTTATTGCTTGAAATATTTGGTGTCTAGTAAATGAGAATTAGTAACACAAACAGAAATTTAAAGTTTTAAACAAACATCAACAACATAAAACCATGCAAAAGAGCTAAAATCTTCACATACCTCAAGTATTGTAGAAGTTGGATTTGTGCGTTTTGGGGTGCGATACATTGCTTTATGGAAAATATGCTTTTTAATAGATTCACCTAAAGATTTAGCACTACGCCCAGCGTCAGAATTTTTAATACGATTCATTACTACCAATTGCAGTGGCGTTCCTGTTGAGTGAATTTGTTATTATATGTTCTATATAAATACAAGATATTGGCACACTTACCTTGTCCATTTTGTCTATTAAATTGTTTAATAAGTCTACGTTTCTTTGAAGATTCAGGTAGACTTTGTATGTGTGCATAGAGTTGCGCTAATTCTGTATCAGTTGTGTTAGTTGTGTGGGCAGCAAGTGTTTTCTCACGATCCACAAATGTATAGACTGTTTCAACAGCTGAAATATCCGAAATGGATTCGTCAAGTGTTAGTTCAGGTGACATAGTTTTTTTTCGTTTACGCTCCAAGAAATATGCTTTTATGTCAGTTGATAATTTCGCCGGCATTTCAAATATTTTTGTACCTTTCGTGACCATATAAGCAATAATACTAGACATTTTCTTTGATAGATAATGTAAGGCTTCGGGTGGCATATTCCTTGGACATATTAGATGTGGTGCAAATAAGGTTGCTAAGTTTTCTGCACACATCTTGTTTAAGTGTTCCTGTTGTGCAGCAGCGTAAAGCAAATCAATTATATGCATCAGAAGTTGTCGATTATCATAGGGTAGAAGTAATAAGAGAAGCTGAATTGAATTCAATAAATGCTCTTCGCGTTTCTGATGTTCTGTGTTTAGTCCTTTAAAGGTATTGCTCGTTGATGCCATATAACTTGCTCCGATACAAAGTGGAGCAAGTTGTAAGTGTGCGGGATAGTGTGCATCAGTTAATACCGGTTCAGGCAATTCAGCCAAATAACCTTTAAAAACTGTGGCACAATCGTGTGCAGAATAACTACTGCATTCCAATTCTAACGCTTTGTTACTTTGTATTTGTATCCGTAACTCATTTTGTCTTGATACAGAACCAGTCTTACGAAATATACCTTCCTGTGTTATATCTGTAAATGAAACCATAACAATGTCTATATATTAGCATACAATTTTCTATACAAACTTTTTTCAAGCAATAAGAACTCTTTTATTTCCTTCAAGTGGAATAAAAATCCAGCATCAATTTGCTGGTGTAGACCTTCTGTAGGACTGCCACCAGAACTGTTGGAGCCTTTTGTCGTTGTTGAACATACCGCAGATAGATGATGTCTCTGCTTCTTTGATATACGGTTCCACTTTTTCCATTTTCCTTTGTCTTCATAAACGATTTCATGGCATGGCAAATCAAATCTGTATAATAAAGGAAGTAAACTTTTATTTGCATATAACCAAACGGCAGGTGTTTATCTTACTCATTTAGTTCCAATTCAAATGACAAGTGCATGCGCACAAGCGATCTATATTTCTCAAAATTCGATTCGCGCATATGCAATGCAATTTCTTCATCTGACAAGTCATTTATATTTAAATAATTAAAATCCATTTTCATATATTTCTCCTTCCTAAAATAGAAATTTCACGCGACGCACCGTATAAATGTATGTAGTATACTTTTAACATCTGAGGGTATCAGTTTATATATCAAATTACAAACACTTAAGGTTCACAACTGTTTAACATTTTAATTGTGATATAATTGAATATCTTGCCAATTTAATAAATTATAAACTTGGGCGTATTTCTCAATTAGAAACAGCAACAACATGCAAGGACTAGTAAAATGCTGGCCAACTGCTGATTTTCGAAAAATATTGTCTTTTACTAACCGGTCACAGTTTGAGTGCCACTGTAATATTGGTTATTTTGAATATTATCGTAAATACAGATATGCATTTCTAAACTATATTATCTATATGCCATATCCATTTTATTAAAAATATATGAAATAATATTAATACATCTTAATCATTTTAAGTAAAAAATACTGTACTGCATCAACGAAAAAATACACGCTGTAATGAACAGCGATAAAGCAATGATAGGTCTAAATACAATAATAAAATTAGTTGAATATCTAATAATAATATCAAAGGACAGACAGAGTAATATTTGCAGATGGGAAAATAATATATAATTCAACTTATATTATAAGTTGAATTATAAAATCAATTATACGCAATCATATGTGAGACATATTGGCTCCCTCGTGCGAACATTTGATTAAATAAAATATTTTGTTTGAAATTCATTCGTTCGTGCGAAATTGAAGGTGGAAATTGAGAAATGTGTGTTTTTTCATGTTATTTTAATTTGATAAATGGAAAAGGTTGTTATAAATGTTGTTTGAAATTAATAAATAATTTAATAATGGATTTTCAGCTAAATACATTGCATATTCACTATCCATTTTGTTTTCAAAACAAATAAAACAAAATTGTCAATTCGCAAGCAATGTAATCGCAACATGCAACATATTCGTCGAGGAAACCTACATACGAATACATAAAACAAAATTCAATCTTAATAACTAGAAATTAAATGTTATATATAAACCAAAATAGCAAGCCTTTAGAAATAGGTCTAGGTATTTCATAGGTTATAACGCCGCAGATTTCTGTTCTTCATTTTTTTTTGTTGCAACCAATTAATTTTTTAAAGAGATGATTGCTTTTATTATTTATTTATTGAAATATTTTTAACACCATAAATTCTTTTTACGTAATTTTCAAGAACGTAACATTTGAATACAAATGTTGAAAATCTTTTAATAATTCAATGTTTTTTTTTGATTTGAAAAAAAAAAATTGTCCAATTATTGTTAAATTAAATTTTTTAATTTTATATTAAATTATATAACGCAACATTTTTGGAAATTATTTTAACATTCTACAATATTTTGTTTGGGCTGATTTATTCATGTAAAATGTTTACATTTCAATTATAAGCAGACGATATTTATAATACATTCATAGTGCCTCATTCAGGCACTTGCTTATTTATATTAATGAGAGAACATTCACATTATAATGAGCTGATAGAACTTTTATAAACTTCACGTAATAATATGTTATATAAAAAAATTAAATATATATATCATTTATATATTAAATATATAAATATAATTAAATATATAAATTACATATTATATCATATATATATATTTTATATATCAATTATATATTCATTTAATTAAAACAAAGATTTTATTAAATACTCACTTCCTCAGTGCCCTTACTTACAGCTCATCTGTTGTTTGTTTACATTTTAAATGTAAAACATTTAACACATATTTCAAATTTTGGTAATTTCTCTTATGGGAAATTTATTTTTAGGGGCTGTATTCGTCATTTGTGGTCTCAAATGTGCTGATTTATTGATAATGAGCTCATGCATATAAAAGCATTTTGTACAGAAAATTATCCTCATATGTGGCGTTAATTAGCAAAACTACCTAAAAAAAACCAGTGAAAACATTATTATTTCAAATTGACACCTAAAAACATATTCATTAAAATATATTATGCAGTATTAAACAATTTTTTATATTATTTCACACTAATATATAATAATCACGTAATTGATGTACATCGAAAATTTAATTCAAAGACTACAATCATTCAAAGTTAAAAATACAACACTGTTTCGAAGTGGAATTGGTTTTCGGATATTGCTTTTATGTAATCTAAAATGGCTGTCATCGATTGATGCATATAAGTGCAGTTTAACAATATCGTTCTTAAAATTGATGAAATTATTATAAGTACTTGGCGAAATTAAACAAACATTTATGCATTTTATTTTGTTTTAAAAATGTATGTAATTCTAAAGTTATTAATATTTTTATAAACTGATTTTATAACTTTTAATTGTGTACAAAAGTTCGGTGCTGACAAAGCAAATATGTGCTATGCCCAATTTTTTTTCGAAGTTCTTACAGTAACAAATATTCGGTAACAAATATTTGTTGTATAAAAGACATTTGAACATTAAATTATTTGAATAAAGAAATATAAACGCAATTGTGAAGTTTTTCATGTCAGCAAATCAACAATTTTAAATCAAGAACTCAAGAAATGTTAGTGCGGAGCTGTCGCCGGTCGTGTGGCTCTGGACGTTCGAAACGGGTGCTGGTGTTCCAACAACCGACGATCGCACTTCGTGCACTGTGATAATATACAAATTATTTTTTATTTTAATAAGTGTTTTATATTTAAATTTTATTTTTTTGCATTCTGTAAAAATTTATGTTTTAAATATATTTTTATATATTATGCTATGATGCTTGTGTTTAACTTAACAAAAGCCTTTATGTCAGGGTGTTGTGCAAGAGTCGGTTCGTTAAATCGGTTACGTCGCGGAATTGGTTAATGTACGTTTAATTCCCAGCTTTGCTGAGCGGTTCGAAATTGATTCTTTGCGAATTCGTGATGTTATGACGGTCTAAATAACATAAATCGTTTAAATATTAAACCGACCAAAACGTAAAACATTTTCTGGGTCTTGGTTTGATTTAATAATTCTCGGTATTTAATGTTAATCTTGGTTCGTTTGGTTTGGCTCCCAGTCAGATTTGCGTAAATTTCGATAAAGTATACGGAAATGTTTAATAATTAAGTTTTGTTTAATTAATGTTTAAAATATATTTATAAGTTTAGTTATGCATTTCTCTTACAAAATTTTCAATAAATTAAAATATTTTACAGCTTTTTTGTGTGTACTGTGCGTGTTTTATAGCGAAAGGTATTCGAAATCTCGTGATTTCATTGATTCCTTAGTATCGCGTCTCCATGTGTCGTGCTTAAGACAAATTCGTGATAACTACGCTTTAAAGAGTCAATATATTTGTTGAAAAATATATTATATCTAAATATATTTTAATTGTTCACGATGTCAACGTCGCGCAGACGTGGCGACATAAATCCGAAACTGCACATGGATAGACAACCAACAATTGCCCGTATAACAGGTATATGTCAAAAGTTCTTTGTTTATCTTTTCTGTTCTGCTTATCCAATCTCTTCCATTTATTTCAGTTTGAAATTTTTCAGTTTTGTACATCACCTTCGGTTAACAATTGACCATAAGCTTCCCGATTAAAAATAATCTGAAGACTTTTTTAAATGGTTTATGACTTGAAGTGTTTTAATATACATATTGTTTTTTGGAACAGGTCTTGATGGAAATTTCGGAAAAATTGTTCAAATTTACCATTTCAAGTTCATTTCTGGCTGCTCTAAAATTTTCATTACTTTCAAGAAGTATTTCAAAATCAGAATAGTTTGATAAAGAATATTTCTTTAAATCACTAGGAAATTTACAAAAATATGTTATTTTAACTCTTTAACTAAAGACTCTTATTCAAATAATATGTATTCACATCGTTAACATATTGTTTAAAAAGTTATTCCTCACTGGCATTGTTTTGTATAAATTATGGGACATTTTTTGATGAAATTTTTTCAAATTTAGTAATTGTGTATTAATTCTATATCGATATTTTTCAGATCCCTCATTACCAGCAGGAAAACGTCGCGAAATAGATAACGTTATGAAAAAAGCGCGAGCCAATACCAATGATTATTGGGATAAAAAATTGATTGAAGCTGAAGAGAAGGATCCGAATCGTTGGCGACACACCGGTTATAAAAAAATGTATATTCAAGGAGAAAGCAGCTCTGGAGAAAGTGATCGAGAGGTTAATTATCGATTTAATTCTACTGGTGGTCCATCTGGTGGTCCACCACCAGGTTCCGGTCGTTTTGGTCGTTCGCGTTCGCCGCGCTCTCGTAGTCGGTCTCGTATGCATAAATCGCCAGTGTCTCCGCCGATGCGTCGACGCACGCCACCGAATAATATAGACGGTATTGGAAGACGTATGTCTCCATTATCATCATTGGACGGTCCGCCTCGTGGTCGTCCTAGGTCACCTCCGCGAGGATTACCTCCGCGTTCGCCATCCGATCTTGGTCGTCGTCCAATGTTAGGCAGCGTTAGAAATTCTCGGCCGCGTTCTCCGCCTGAGCCGTCAATGCGTCGGAAGCCATCACGCTCTCCAATTGGGAGGCGTCGGTCACCTCACAATTCTGGTATATTACCGCAAGGTGGTCGACGAAGATCACCTATACCGGGCGCTAGTTTGCCACCAAATAAACGTGGTCAAATGATATTACCGCGATCGAAGCGCCCACCATCGCCACCGCCGCCAAGAGTAAGTAATAAATAAAATATATATTGTAAATATGTTTGATTTAAATATATATTTGTAAATATGTTTTTATTATTTTGTGTTATTTAGTGTATGTGGAGTATAATTTAAAGTTTATTTTTTGATTTGTAAAAAATTGAATAACTTAGAAAAAGATGGTAGAGGTAAATAGGTAGCTCGCTTTAGAGATCGATTGCAGGAAGAAAGTACGTGATAGATATAAATTTTTTAGAAAAAAATGATCACTACCTATATCAGTTTCTGAGCAACTGATACATTTTCAGATAAAAGTACATAAATTTATAAATTTAATTTTAGTTATAAGAAAATTTTAATAATCTTGATTCACAATTTTCTAAAACAATTTTGTAACCACGAAGATCGTTATATATGGCCCAAAATATACTAGGCATCAAATTAAAAAATGTTTAATACCCTAAAATTAGTTATACCTATTTGCTACAGTTCAGCTGGCAATCAAACAAAAAATTCTGAATATAGTTAAACAAATTTGGACAGATGAACTCTCCTGCCAAATCTCAAGATCGATCTAGTCTGAACTGGATCTTGTCTAATCTGAACTGGATCTTGTCTAATCTGAACTGATTAAATAATTTCGTAAACTGCTTAGCACTGCGGTATTGCAGCTAACTAGTCCCTGCGTACGAGGAAGACTGGAAATGACCTATAATAACTTTTATCGGGGTTGTGATTCTGCAGAAGAAGAGAAAACTGTACTCTACCTCATGTGTCAGTATCTATCATTTGATAGGAAAAGGATTTAATATTTTAGAGGTTCTTTTTTTAGCCGATCTGATAAAGTTGTCATCCTGCAAAATTAGGGACTTGAATTTATAGATTTCACAGTAACTTTTCGTTTTACCTTTTTATTTCTGGTACAAGGAAATCAGTAAAATAAATAAATAAATAGTAAAAATTATATAAATTTCTCTCATATTTTATATTATATTTATATTTTTATTATATTCTGTTATGTAGTTTTTTATTTTAATATGTGGATTATATTTATATAATATATTATATTTATATTTATACATGTTAACACACCGCCCAATGTTAAATAACTCACGTACGCGGACAACAGTCGGAATATAGAACTCAATTGCACTAATTCTAAGATTTTGCAGATTTTTAAGTCATTTAAAAATTTATAAATACAGTTCTAAAGTCAGATTGAATAAATAAAATGTTTTCTTCAAAAATTAGGAGAATTCATTAATTGGTATGAAGTACACTTAAATTTATTGCTGCGGAACGTTTTATCGAATATTGGGTGATATGTTAACTAATATTTACACTTTGTATATATGATTATATATTTGTCATTGATTTATATGTCAAAATTTTTTTCAAAAAATTAATTTTTATGTATTTTGCAAATATTAAAAATACCATAACTTTATTTTAATTATGCAGAATTCGTGTCGTTCGCATACTAATAGTTCAGTGAGTAGCTGCTCTGATGACTCGTGCTCAGTATGTTCGCCGAGTCATCATCACAGATCTCGGTATGTCAAAATTAAAGTATTAACTTTTCGAAGTATTTGAATACTATTGCTATTTTAGGTCAACGTCTATACAACGGGGTCGCGCGCGTCGTCATGGCGGTCCTAGGTCACCAATACCTAAAACGGTGCGAACAATACCTTATCGCAATGGACCTCAAGGACCCCACGGTAATCACAATGTTCGTGTGCATGGTGAAGCAACTTCACCACCTAATCGTTCAATCGATAAATATCGCGAAGAAAAATTACGTCGTATAAGTCGAGAAAGAAGTCATGGTGGTGTATCACCAAATGGACATGTTAAAGCAGCACGTGCTTCAAGACATTCACCACCAGAAGATCCACGTTTAAAAAATCGTCCTCCAGAACCTCCAGAGCCTGCTTCCTCATTGTCTAATACTGTACCACAAAAAAAGAAGAAAAAAGATAAAGAAGTAATTATCATAAAATATAATTCTTAATATTTTTTTAATTCGTTTTTTTGCTTTTTTTTCTAGTTAAGAACTCGCATTAAAATTGAGGGTGAAAAGCGAAAGAAGCATAATTCTTCTTCAGAATCTGATGATTCTGGCGGTTCGGATACTGATGGCTCATTGCCTACTTTCACAGCAACAACACGTCTTACATTATCAGAACGTTTTGGTAAAATGGCTCAATGGAGTATTGATCGTAGTAATATGGAAAACATGCGAATAACAAAAGATTCAACCGGCAAAGCTTTAAAAGTTATGATTGAAGAAGGTCTTGAGTCGCCACCGCGTCGGTATTCTTATTCACCTGCACCTGCAGGCCATTTTCCGGAAGAATTAGCAACAACGGCACCGTCGGGTATGTTGTCGTGGGACGATGTTCGCGTTCGTTATGATTATTATAAAAGTCGTGGCTATTTACGCGATTTAGATTTGAAAGTGAGTTAGGTTATTTTATGAAACAAAATATTATGTAATTCCTATCTATTACTTCTTTATAGGATTATATAAAATGGGAAGAATGGTGGTATAAATATCAAGAATGGTTGAAACATGAACGTTATTATGAATTTTGGGAACGTCAGCAAATGCAAAGACGCAGACGTAAAAAGTTGCCAATTGCACAGCGTTTAAATTAAATATAAAATTAAATATCATTTTCTACAAAGTTGACTTTATGGATTCTTAGGATTCTTGAAACTATGTAATATAAAACAATAGTTGATGTTCTAAAGAGTTTAGCAAAATTTTTTATTGAAATTTTTTTTTCAATAAAAAATTTTGTAATTATTTTTAAGCACTGTTTTTTTAGACTACAGTGTTTGGAAATAAGCATTATTTTAGTCTAATCATCTTAGTTCTAAATGTTAGTACTATTAAGATTGACATATATTCATAAAAAAAAGTCCATATAATAACTAATATCAAAATAATCGTGAGAGTAAGTTAACAAACATATTAACTTACCCACCAACAATGGTCATGTGCCAGAACAAAGGTAATTCAGTTTGCAATCTATATTATTAAGAAATTTTCAGTTGCTATTTTCAATCAAAATATTTAAGAAAATATATAAAAAATATATATTAAAAACATAAAAAGAATATAAGAAAATTATATATATAAAGATGATTTCAAAAGAAAAATTAAACAACTAAGTAATATCATTAAAGAATTAGTTTTGTGTTAAGCTCATACATTTCGAATGTATTAAGATAATTTGATGTAAACTATATATTAAACAATTTATTATTTTCAATTAAATAATGGCCAATAACAGAAGTTATTTGTTTTGCTTTAATCATATTACATTAATTAACAATTTTATTTTTGCAATTGGTTAGGTTGAAGCTGACAGTCAAATTTAATTAAAGCTCAAAGACAACTTATATGTAGATGTCGAACGCAATAGAAAAAAAATGTTTACTAAAATTAGAATTTGAATTAAATCACAAATGTTGAACTTTTCAAGTAAATTATGTTTCAATGTGTTAGTAATGAGTAAAATGAACTTTATAAAAACGCAGATTTTTGAACTCTCAAGATTGTTGCCAATTTTGTGATTGGTGTTGGACATCTATATATAGGTAGTCTGTTGTGAGATATAGATATAACACTGTTTAATTGATAATATAACTAAATGTACTAGATTTTGAATAAAAAAATTTTAAGATCAATTGATTGCCTATATGTAATTTAACTGACATTATGAAATCTCTGAATTGAAATCCTTTAATTAGTTGTTAGCATATATTACAGTACTAACATCTGGTAACGGTGAAAATAGGTAAAAAGGATTGAAATTAATATAATATAAAAAGCACTATTGTTTTATTGGCTTCAAATACTCGTAAATACTAAATCCACTGACATTTTCAATTGTTAAATCTGGGATAACTTTTTTAATTGAGATTCACTTTTAGTGCAGTTTTTATTTTTGATTAGTAAATTTTAAGTGAAATGCATATTATTAAAGTTATTAAAGTTTTTTGACGTGAAATCGCCCAACAGCCGGTACTACGGCCAGAAGAGTCTTATTGTATCAATTTTATTATTGATTAATAAAGCCCTTTATAGGTTTGTGGATAAAGTCCAGAACTTAATCTAGAGAAGAGATCTTAACATGTTCTGGTAACAGAAATTCCTTATGAAACAAGTTTTTTCTGTGCGTTATTAAAGCTGGACAGATACAAAGAATATGTATAGTAGTTTTTTCATCTTCGAGGCATAATCTGCATTCTGAATTAGCAGATAATCGTAGTTTATGAAGGTGATATAATTTATAATTTATAAGAATCTAGATTAGGGTTGTCCATACCAGATGTGATCGCGGGCAGATTGAATGGTCGCAGAAACAAATACATACGTTTATAGTTGTTTTAGAGAAAAATAAAAATGCGGATATAATGTTAAATTTAGTTTTATTCATTTAAATTTATTCGTTATACCATAAAAATAAAAGAAAGTAGTTTCGCCAAAGTACACCAAAAGAAAATTTGTGTAATTGTGGTAGATTAGAAACATGTCGCGGGTCCCACAAACATTAGCCGCGGGTCGTGCTTTGGACAGTTCTGGTCTAGATATTTTGTCAGAGTAGCAAGATTGCCCTGATATTAACAGTTGTTTTATATGATTTGACAAATAAAGTATGGTTTAATTCGTATAAATATCTATTAACACTACTACAAAAATGTTAGACTACTTTAAAAATGTTGGATTGTGTAACCAAATTATGGTAGACAGATTGAGAGAAAATCTAGATTGAATCTATATCTATAACTTTAATTATATAAGCTTTCGGGACTATCGAGAGATAGTCTAGAGAGGTTTGTGCAAGCTTTAATATGTATACATATAAAACCAAAGAAGGTGGTAAAAAAGGAATATTTTAAATTAAAGGTAAGAAGTAGATATGTGTTATAGCTACCTTGAGCAAAGCACGGGTGCACTTCTGGGTATATATATACATATATATTGAAATTTATTTTATAATTTAATAAAGGTTGAATGACTGATCAGTTCTATCTATTTCAATTGATATTGTCCGCAAATTTCAGAAAAAAATTGAAGCTAAACCATTTTTTAGTTTAAAAGTTTTTTCTTCAATTCAAGTTTTGAGCTAAGAAAAATTTTATTTTTCAACAATTATATTTAAAATGATCTAGACATATGATGTACCATTATGTTAAAATACAAGTGTTTTAAGTTATGTACAACATATATTTAGATAGAAAGTTATATTTGAGAATACGTGAGAATACACTAGAAAATGTTATGTCTTTAAAAGAATATCAAAGAAAAATATATTTGATAATACACTAGAGAATGCTATGATCCAGGTGCCTGTAAGTGAATATGAAAGAAAGATATACTTGATGATACAGTAGAGGATATGACCATCAAGGTGTCTAAAAATGAATATCAAAGGAAGATATATTTGTGAGTACACTAAAGAACGCTGTAATGGAATTCCGGGAACTTTTTGAGTAGAAAGTATGTACAATTACTTTTCTTTGTTGGGACTTAATATCCAATTTTGGTTCACTAAAGAAAAAGTAATAGGCCGAAATAATTTAAGTTGTAGATAATTATATAATTTTAGATACACTTCTAAAAAGAGGAGTGTTAGTAATTATATTAGAAAGTATTCAAAATTATATTAAACATAATTGATTTTTTGGACGTACGCTTCTCCTGCATATTTGTTTTCTGTATCCAAAAATTTTATGATTATAATTTAAATATTTATTAATCAATTTTAGCTGCGTTTTAAAATATATTTTTTTATATTCAACATTTATGGGCTTCATAAAATATTTAGAAAAAATTTTTACAAAAATGCCGCGAGCAATTAAAAAATGCAGAATATTTTTCTTTATGTCTGCAGAGTTATATTGTGGATTCGAATATGTGCCTCCGTGCTTAAAAACTAATCAAGATTGATTGATTACGTGTGGGTAAAAAGTTTGCCAATCAATGAAAGTGAAATATATGCTCAATACCAGAAAAGGATTGAAAGGGGAAAAACTTTTCAAAAAAAAAAAAAATGTAAAGAGTTGAGTCATTGTTAACACTTTGCCTTAAAAACATTTTTCATATACTATTGCAGATGTCGGTAATATACATTCTATAAGTATTAAATTTCATTCAAAAATTGGAAAACTTATATGAATAATTCTATATTTCGCCCATCTTTTATATATGGACAATTAAATCATATCAAATAAATCAGCTTTTGCATAATGAGGGAAGTTCATATCGGAAAATATATTATTCAGTTCTACTTTCTGATAGACAACGAATCCGGTAACAAGCTTGATTAAAAGACGAAAGGGTCAGAATATAATAACTTATAACTCATTTAAGTTTTATATTTGAGATGGCTTCGTTCCAAGAAAGTGGTAAGAAGTACTTACAAGCGCATCGATTTTTGCCCTTGTATGTTATAGATTAATAATTTATTAGACGAGCTCAGCAGTTGTGGCGTATGGAATTGGTTAGTTGTCGTATCAGATCGTTAAAATTGGAACGAATTGGTTGTATAAACACTGCTCTAAAAAGACTGATAGTAAGAAAGGAGAATTAATAAACATTAGAGGTGAGGTTTAGGTTAGGTTTAGGTTAGGTTTAGATTAGGTATCTGATGGAATTATGACACATGGAGTTATTGATCTCCAGTGATACCAGTTAGTAAATTAAATTGTAATTTAATGAAGTTGTTATTAGTTAGCAGTTTGGTCCATCTTCTGAATGTGCCCAATTTGGTTCACACTAGGGGAATCCGGTTACCTGCATCACTTATATTGCGACACTGTTTTTACTTTAAAGCATCTCTAAATAGATATCGGCAAATCTCTCCTCTAAAGAATTGTTGAAAATACCATCTATTTTGCTGAATATTTTAGGTGGTCTAACCTTTTTGTACTTGGCAATAGTTTCAATACAAAGATCTTTATAAGTATAAGAGTTGTTGACATACCACGAAATCTTGCATATCTTTGACGTTTTGACATTTTTGCAGTTTCTCAAGAATGGATTTAGCTGCTTTAGGGAAAACGACACAAACATACATCAAAGATGGGCTAATATATGACCATTCTATTTTTCTGACTTTGCTTTTTTCTTTGAAAAGGCGTTGAGGTTGATTTTGTTCTTTTGTATAGATTACCTTCATTGGTTTGTATGGTTTTCCCAAATCAATTTTTTTTGTCAAAAGTATGGCTTAGGTATTTTATATTATTATTCCACTTAATTCTGGGATTATTTAATATGACCACCCTTGGATTCTTGTAATGCTTACGATTCGTAAAATATTGCTTTTGTTTTATCAACATTGAATTTGATCTTCTGATGTCTGATAATAGTTATGACCAGATTATTATTATGCACCTGCGGAGAGTTAAAAATTTTGGTGACATCTACATTAGAATACAGGATATAAGATAAAATAAGTGTTAGACCTCTATGTAGATTTGTAGAAGTCATCAGGTAATTTGTTAGCGCCTTCCACGAATCTGAGGAATCTTGAAGTTTTTTTTTGCTGAAACGGTTTTCAACTTTCTATATTGTGGGGCAACCGAGCTCATTATTTTTTAATAATACATTGGCTGATAAGTAAAAATCTGTTTAAATTTAAAAAAGCGTCAATTTTCAAATAATATCTTGATGACATTTGAATGATTACACATTTAGTTACAGCTGTTCTAGTGACGCAACTTTTGAGGTCAAAGATGAATTATTCTAGACTTACTTAATTATTTGGCCATGACAAGCTGTTCCCGGGTTTCGGTTTGAAGCATTCTACCAGAGAGTTATTGAAATATTAGAGACACACTGGAATTATTATTTTACTTTTTATTGACAATGCTAAACGATATTGATAAAGTCGAATTACTTCAAAAAGCTGATGGTTATCTTATGGACATGTCAGGACTTTATGGGCTCTATACCCACAACAATCCTTTAACTTTATTAACAGTAGTTATTATGCAAAAAATGGATGGCGATGAGTGTGGTTTAAAAACGCTTAACTTTAACTTGAACGATAAACAACATCTGGACTTAAAAGCATCCAGCAACATATTGCAA